TCCCCACGCTGAACGAGGATGAGCTTCGCGAGATGATCAAGCAAGACGAGCTTCGTGAACAAAGGAAGCGCCATCCTACGTCCTCCGTTGGCGAGACGACCTATCCCTATGAGGCCGGTGACACCGTGCACGGGAAGGTCAACGTTGGCAGCATCCGTCGGCAAGAGGAGATCCAGGAGATCCTCAAACGGGCAAGGGCAAATCCCTGGCACCTGTACCACCACGGCGTGCTCAAGCGCATGGATGCGAACAACCGACCGGCTTCGTCGCATTATGGCGATGGGCAGGTCAAGGTGACACCATGGGATGCCCTGTCCAAGGAGGCCCGTGCTTTGCTGGGAGAAGAGTACAAAACTATGCCACGTGGATGCTTCATCCCTTGTCTGGTTATGGTGTGCATTTCTTCCTCCGAGCGTTTGAGTACTGCAAGCTCCAAGGGAACTACCTCACCGAGTTCGTTCAGAAGCCGAACACCTATGTGAGGATCACCCCATGGGGTGAAGAGGAAAAAGGATACCTCAGTCCGATGGAAGGTCTCCCCGGTGGCATCCCCGCACTTCTCGACTCCATCACGACGCAAGTTGGGAACGAGTTTCGTCCCCTGATCAACCAAGTGGGTTTCAAGCCTCCAGCGCAGGATGATCCGCGGAAGGTCCGGCCGAAGGAGACGGATGTCAAATTCGCTGAGAAGCTCAACGCACACAATGCTTACCTTTTGGAAAGGGATGTGTGGATGGAGCTCGGCTATATCAGGGAGGATTTTTCCTACTTGGTGTCCATCCTCAGCGAGACCTACGGCGAAGCGTTTTTCAGCTACATGATGAAGAATGTCAACAACAGGGAGCTTCGCGGGAAGTATGCCGTCACAACAGCCGAAGGACAACAGCTATGGGACTGTAGCCTCTATGAACCCTTCAACGGGCCCCTGGTGCTCTCCAAGCTTTCGAAGGAGCTTCAGGGAACATCCTCGAAGGAGTTCAAGTCTAAGTTCGCCCGGAAGGCAATGGCCGACCTGGCTTCCTATGAGGAGCTTCGGGCAAAGCGAGAGGCAGCACTTGAGGAGATGTATTCCAGCCCTACGACAACATCGTCATCGAGGAGTTCCTGGAAAACATGCCAAGTCCTCAGGTGGAAGAGGTCCCGCCAACGCCAAGTCCTGTTGAAGAGCCGGCAGCGTCCGATGTTCCCATGGCAGAGCCGGTGAACTCATCTTTTGATGAGATGACTGGTGATGTCAAAAAGGAGCATCCGGATACATCGGCACAAGAAGCAGATCCTGACAGTCCTGTTCTCGCAGACCTGCCTGAGGAGCCAAGTTCTGCGGAGATGAAGGCTGAGGAGGAGACGGAGAAGCCAAGCAAGGAGCCCTTCGTTGCAGAAGGTTCCATGCCGGGCCCGTCTTCTTCCGCTTCTGGGTCCGAGGAGAAGGTCTATGACCAGGGCATCTGGGGACAGACCAAAACGACCGTGGACCCGGAAACAATCGAGGCCTTCATCCGCTCTACCGCTGAAGCAGAGCGCGAGAATGATGAGACCTTCAACAAGATGGCCGACACCAAGGATAAGTTGGGTCTGGAAGACACGATGGCCTACAAGAAGTTCATCTTCGAGGGAGTCCAAATTGAGCGAGCATCCCCACTAGAGGCGTTCCAGAAGCAGCGAAGGGGCTACAATATGTCCGGAATCTTCCACACGGGAATCCGAGACACCAATGTGAACCTGTTCAAGCTGCAGCACATGGCCTGACGAGTTCCAGCAGATAGCCATGTGGGAGCGAAGTACAATCTGGTGGAGAGGCAGCTGATGGATGCTTTGTGCTCAATGGCTCCCATCTACGAGTTGAGAGACAAGGCCAGCGAGGTGATCTTCAGAGCTGGAGATTATCGCTCAACACTGGACGCTCTCGTGGTGCCAGCAGGACCGAGCTGATGAATGCGATGTTGCACTACTTCATCGGCTGCAGCATTAGCCTGAGTGAGATTGGAGACTTGTCTTTAGACAAGATACCAGATCCTCGGGTGCACAACTTTGGCCTTCATGAAGATGATCCAATTCCGATCTACACCTCAAGGTCCAGCTGCACGATCCTCACCGTCAACCTTGGCAACTTCATTCGTGGTCGCAAACGCACGATGCCTTCGGTCTACCGTGACGTCATTGACGAGTCGATGGACGAAGAGACCGTGGGACCATTGGTCAAATCGTTGGCTCAAAGCAAGAGCCACATCTTTTGCCTGTGCGAAGCAGCTTCATTGAATGAAGATGAACTCAGTTATCTGAGGAGACGAGGTTGGACAATGTTCCAGAACCCGCCAAGGACCTGATGGTGGCAAGCAGAACCAACGAGGTGGGTGCCAGCATAACGCAGCTCGCTGGAAGCACGTTGAAGTTCGAGGACCACGCCTACTTACCTCTCAGCTACATGATCTGCGAGATCGAGTATGGCTACACACTTCCCTTGGGAAGTAGTGGTTTTCGTGGCGACTTCGACGAGTCGGTCTTCACCAGGAAGCTGTCCAGAGCTGGTACTGAAAAGGTCAGAGTGTGCGTCTTCCACCTCACCAGCAGCATCGCCAGAGGCAAAATCAGTTTGGCGCACGAGGCTTTAGCCACGATGGTCACTGATTGCCTGTTTTACCAGACAGACATCTTGGCTGGCGACGCTAACATGGCTCTCTACCGCTACGGTGGCACCAACCAGAAGTCCATGGACATCCAGGGTGGAATGTACCAATCCATCATCGCCTACTTCCTCGAGGCGTACAAAAAGCAGTCTCTTCCGTTTTGTTGCCCGAAGGTGAGGCATGTTAGTGCCAACAGCCTCTATGTGCTCAAACAATACGAAGACGCTTTGGGGCAGCCTTTCCGTGATTGCCCGCCGATTGATTGGAATGTTTTTCCTGGATTGGACCCACTGGTTTGTTCCATCTTCGAGTGGGGACATTCACTCGCAGACGATGAGTGGAGCGAGATCGTTGGCGAGCCGGCCGAGTACAGACTGGGTGTGAGTGAATGGGTGTTGAACTCCGACCAGTCGAACTACCTCCTTGGCGATCGAGACAATGACTCACACACGCCATTGTTGGTGGATATCCTTCCACAACACATGACTTTGGCAAGGCGGAAGGAACGCGATCGGAAGCCACAGAGTGTCATTGATGCCGCACAGAGGAGGAAAGACAGGCAGAGAGAGAACAAGCGCATGGGATGGCCTTCCCAGACAGGTGGTTCTCGACGTCCTGCTGAACCTGAAGCACCTCCATCGGGGCGTGGTTCAACAAGACCTACTGAGCCTGATCATCCTCCTCCTCGAAAAGGCAAGGACAAAGGGTCCCAGAAGGGTCACTACGCTGGCTACGACAAGGGCAAGACCAAGGGCAAGGGAAAGAAGTGAGTGGCAATGTCACCACACAGGAAGGCTTCTCTTTAGAGAAGGTATCCTCAGAGTACATACATTTATGTTTGTGCTTTTTCCTCCGAAGAGACTCTTCTTTAGAAGAGATACTTCTAATGCCTTATTTGCCTAAAGTAGCAAGGAGTGTTTCTCTTGTGAGCAAATACTCATCGACAGGAACCGAGCAGCCAAGGTTCACTGATCGAACAGATGTCCGGCTAGAGACATCACAGGTGGAGTGAAACTTCACCAAACAGATTTCACAGTAAGCTTTCCTTCTGGAGAGGTAACTGAAGTCTGATGTAGTGGGCAAAAGCTTTTCATTTAGATTTCTGAACCTGAGCTGAAGATCTGGTAGTTTCTGTTGCGTGTGACGTTTCTGCTTAAATATACTGTCTCCAGGCAGAAGTATTGTACAGTCTTGTTTTTCACCAAGCCGCAGTGTAGCTCATACGACTCCGCAGTTCTAATTCTCTTGAGCATAAGGCAAGCTGAAAGCCGATACCACGGCCATGCAGTTTCAAGTGTTTTTAAATTTGTGCCTGGTTGAAACACTGATGTTACACATCCAGGTGCCTGTCAGTTTCACTTGTCACAATGCATGTTTCCATGCTTGCTGCTCAAGGTTCTAGTGGTGCAGTGACTACAGCTGTGTGCTTGTAGAAAAGAGACTCCTGTGTTGCCTGTAGGCCTGTACGCATTAGGCGAGGGTCTGCACATCTCAGAAAAGAAGAGCGGGGGGGGAGTGGGGGGGGAGGGGGGGGAGGGCGGAGGGGGGGGAGGGGGAGAGGGGGGGGGGGGGGAGGCGAAGGGGGAAGGGGGGAGGGGGGGGCCCTGGTCCCTGAACACGCTCCGGCGGGGGCTCCGAAGGGGGGTCAGGTTCAGGGTTTCTAATATTCTGCTTGCGGATCGGAGAAGGGGGGGCGGGGTACCCCAGGCGGGGTACTGCACCGGCACTGGAGGTGCAGCTCACGCTCAACACAACTCGTTGGGCTTGCATAGTAAGTCCAAGCGATGGTGTTTATCGCTGTCGGGTGCAGTGCTGGGTCCAGGCACCCTAGAAGAGGGTGGGTACGGCCTAAGCAGGCCTGAGTGGGAATTTAGGGTTTAGGGAGGTTTTATAGGGTTGGTGGGGGCTGATAGGCCTCATGAGTCTTAATTCTGGGGTTTTTTGGGGCTTCATGGATTTCATTTGTTCCCCACGCTCGGTGTGGGGGTTGTTAGAATAAAAACTCAACTCTTCTCCTCGCCCGGTCGACTTCGCCCGATCTACTCCTCGCCCAACCCCAGGGTGCCCAACCCCAGAGTGTCCCTAGGGTGCCCAACCCCAAAGTGTGCCTAGAGTGCCCAACCTTAGAGTGTCCCACAGGTGCTCAAAGCCAAAGTGTCCCTGAGTGCCCAACCCCGAGTGCCCAACCCCAATGTCCCTGGAGTGTCCAACCCCAGAGAGTGCCTGGAGTGTCCAATTCCAGAGAATCTCTACCCTCTCGGGGATTTTTTGAAGTAAAATAGTTTTGTTTGGGGTTTGGGGTTTGGGGTTTAGGGTTTAGGGTTTAGGGTTTAGGGTTTAGGGTTTAAATGGCTTTGGGGCGCTCATTGCCCGGAGGTGGCGTCTCCGATGCCTCGACCTCGGGGCCGATCTTGGACGAGGCGCTGAAAACGCACCGCCGTGGCGAGGGCGCCACTGTGGATGACCTGGAGCAGGCCTTGGGTTCAGGGTTCGGGGGGGTTTAGGGTTTAGGGTTTAGGGTTTAGGGTTCAGGGTTTAGGGTTTAGGGTTTAGGGTTTAGGGATGTTCCCCCTTGTGCTAACAGTCCTTTGTCGGGATAAGAGTACCCCCTATTGTAATCTTCTATGAAGGACTCTTAGTCTCAGGGCAAACATCCCAAGGTCGGGGTGCAAGAGGGCCTTATACCCGAAACCTGCTAAACCCCTGAAACCCCGAAACCCCGAGCCAATGGTACCGAGCCGTACCTCCTGCGAACCCCAAGATGCATCTTTGCTGTAGCTGCATGAGATTTTTCAGTGAGACGGCTTTAGGACCCTCTAGACTCTAGCTGCGGCCAGTTCTGGTCCATTACTTTAGCTATGGACTGCCGGAGTCCTCAAGCACGAGCCAAACCGAGCAGGCCTGAAAAGACTCTTCCCTCAAATGACCGAGCCTCCTCCAGGTGAAGGCTGCGCTGGAAGAGCTCCGCCGCGGTGGTGAGGACTTCTGGTGATCGGCAAGAGAAGGGAAAGAGTATGAGGGGCCCTCTAGTGGGTTGAGCATGTAGAGTCCTGGCACTCCCTCCCACAGCCTGCTGTTAAAGCGTCAGCACCAAAGCAGCCGGCACAGGAAGAGCGGCTCCACCGCAGTCAGCTGGAGGCCAGGCGTTGCTGCATAACGTGCAGTATGCTATCTTCAAGGCATTCTCAAAACATGTTGCCAGATAGCTTCGCTCTGGCTCGGGTGATGCTTTCAAGCTGACTCGACATAACTTGCATCTTATGTGGACTAAATCTGAAAGCAGGAGCGAGTCTTGCGGGAGATCGAGGACTGCTGGGTGGTTGCGTTTTGTGCATTTTTGTTGTGCCCTGCACGCCTTCAAAACTGCAAAATTCACTGCAACACGTCGCCAGCCTGTCTCATCAGAAGCTAGCCAGAGGACCTCAAGTCGTTTTCGCCTTGCCCGTCGTCACCCAGCCTCGCGACGCTGGAGCGCCATCCCGCCAGGCTCGGGGGTAACGATGTGCTTCCAGGTTTAAGCCGTACGGTGAGTCTAGGTTTTGGGTCCCGGCTTGTTTTGATCATGACGTGGGGGTGTTTCCGCTTCCACCCAAGAAGGCTAGACAGCCTTGAGTCCAGTGGGACGACGGTTACCTCATGTGCCGAGCTCCGACATTTGCCTACGAGGAGCCTCAGTCGACAGAACCTCCTGGCCGAGGACTTGTTTTTTTGTTCCAATTTTTGGCTTTAAGACAACAAGGGCATAGGCTGTAGGGTTAAGGGTTTGTGAAGCTTAGCTAGCGCTTAGGGCCCAATCCGGTTTTTAGGGTTGAAGATGGTTGGCTTCCTTCGTGGCAGGGGGAGGAATTGTAGGGGTTGAGTCAGACATGCTGATGACGTGTCCTGAAGTGACCAGCTGGACTGGATCCAGGTTTCGCAGAGGGCTGGAAGGGGAACCTATCAGGCCCATCACCGGCTGATGTAATGGGGCCTTAATAATTAGAGCAGGGTTTTGGGGGTAGTTATAGTACAATTTACAAGGGACCCTAAGGGGGAAACCATTAGTAGTTCTTCCGACCCCTAAATTACACCGGCACAGGAGCGTGAGCGGAAGCGCTCGCAGGCGAACGAGGTGCTCCACGCCGAGGCAGGAGGGGCAGGGTGTGGCACTCAATGAACCCCATACAGCAAAGTAAGCCCTAGGATTTGAACTTTACACCCAAAACCCTAAACAAAAATGAAGAAGAAATCAACGATCAGGGAAGGGGCTTCATGTTGTAGCACATTGCTTTTGCTATTCAGGGCCCGGATCCTGCCCAGCCGTAGCACATCTGCTGCTTTCATGCCCGTTGCGCGCCAGGTGCAGGAGCTCTCTGACACGTTGGCCGAGCTTCGCGTCACGTGCGCGGATGAGCTTGAGGCGGCATCGTTTTTGAGGGCCGCGGCCGTGCGACCACCCATTGCCTTACGACAAACAGGAGCGGAAATGCTTAAGCCCATAGTGTCTTCCGATGTTTGACCCTTTGTAACTGTTTAAGAGGGGTTTTCAGAATGAGGCCGGTCGTATGTTGGGGTGCATTACGTTGACCTGGGCCCACTTGCACGTTGCCTGCCGGGGTCAGCTTGGAGGCGCAGCGCTTGGAGAAGCGCCAAGCGCTGTCGGAGCTAGCCCAAGCGGAGGCCACAGGGAAAAAACCCGAAACCTGTTGATGGATGCTTTCTTCTGGTCTTGGGGTTGGCAGATGAGTTCTGCTGTGGGCTGCGGCTTGAGGGGCTCAAAAAAAGGTGGTGGAAGAGAGGCAGGGTTTAGCACGGAGTGGTGCTTAGCGCGTCCTGACGCCTTACCAAGACAGCCGCAGCTCTGCATGGGCTGCACTCTATGCCCTAGAACACCTAAACTCTGCAGTCTTGCGCGCCAGGGTCGCGCTCTCAGCCCCAGGCCCCTGTTGCACGCGTGGCTCATGTGCAGGAGAAGCTGGCACAGGCTCCTGCGCGCGAGGAGGTGGGGGGCTTTTGTCCTCACATCACGGCCCTTCGAGGGTTTAGGCTTTGTTTTTTTTTGTCCTTCAAGCTCTATCCGTGAGCATCCAAGACTTGGCCCTTCTCTTGCGTACAGCCCCGCACGAGGTTCAGAGATTGGAGCATGCCACTCGCAGATGCGCCGCCCCTGCAGTTTTCCAGAAACCCTGAGCCCTCCGACGCCCTAAACCCTAAACCCTAAACCTCAAACCTTAATTAAACCCTAAGCCCTAAACCCTAAACCCTACACCCTCCTCAAGAAAAGAAGTGCCGGCTCCACTTTGGCCCGGAGGCGTTGAGGGCCGAGCTGGCCCAAGCGGCGGCCGAACTGGGCCGTGCTCGACATGCTGTGAACCTGGGAACCACGTGCAGTAGGACTTAGTTTGGTGAGAAGATCATCTAGGGCTCTTAGGGTTTAGGGTTTGGGGTTCAGGGTTTAGGGCATCTGCGTCATTGAAGTGTGGTTCCCCCTTGCAGCATTGCGTCAATGAGCTAGCAAAGAGCCCTGCCGGCGTCCCAACCTTGAAACAAGCCCTGAACCCTAAACCCCAAACACTCCCTAGACACCAAAGTAAACCCGGGCCCTAAACCCTCAGCCTAAACCCTAACCCCACTGTTGGCACACAAGAAACAGCACAAAAGCCGTAAACCATAGGCAGCAGAAGCCAAGGAAGGAGCAGGACGAGGCCTTGAAGGCATTCTGGAGCCTCCAGACCTCCTATCAGCACGAGCTCGAGGAGGTCGAGAGGCACCAGCCGCAAGAAGGTTCAGGGTTTAGGGTTTAGGGTTTAGGGGTTAGGGTTTAGGAAGGCGCTTGAGAGAGCCCGGGTGCGAAAGGGTTTAGGGTTTAGGGCACCCAGCCCCAGATTCAGCCGAAGCAATCCTGTCCTCGTACTAGTGCATCCTAAAGAGGGTAACTGTCCGGGGTAGGAGGCCCGTATTTTGCGGACTTCTTGCCTATTTAGGAGTTCATGTCAGTTTGGCCGCGGCCTCATCGTACGTTCGGAATATGGGCTATGAAGAAGAGGTGAGTGCTCAAGTCTCTTAGCGTGTAGGGGCACGAGGTTGCTCAGGGTTCAAGGGGGCTTCTTGTTCAGGTTTGCCTACAAACAAATGTTTATGTACTGGTTGGGCTTGGGTAGATCCCGAAGCTGTAAACTAAAACCCTAAACATTAAAACCCTAAACATTAGGGTTTTAAACATTAAAACCCTAAACCTTCTGTCTCAGCTTGGGCAAATCTTGCTGCTTGGGCCCTGCTGCAGGCATGAGAAGCAGACGGCGGTCCTGCACGAAGACTGCTTGGGCCGCCTTAAGTGGTTAGGGGTTTAGGCTTTAGGTGTTTAGGGTTCAGGGTTTAGAGGTTAGGGCAGGGCATGTGGGTAGCCTGCAAGCACACTCCGTGCTGCGGCTCCTTCGTGTCTACTGGGGCTACCAGTTCTTCCGGCCGCTTCCCACACGGGTGGGTTCAATGCAGTGCGACGTTACAGTCAGCTAGGCGGGCGGCAAAAAGCAAACCCTAAACCCTTAACTTCAGACGAAACCCGGGAGTCCGGGAGCCCTGAAGGAGCTGGAGGCCGAGCGCGCGCGAGGCCTCCACGCCAGGACGGAGGCCGAATCTGCTGGCGCGCTCCGAGCAGAGGCGCCCCACACATAGGGTTTAGGGTTTAGGGTTTAGGGTTCAGGGTTTAGGGTTTAGGGTTTAGGGTTTAGGTTTTAGGGTTTAGGGTTTAGGGTTTAGGGTTTAGTTGCTGAGTTCACAAAACAAGAATCTTGCTTTGTTTCTTGTCTTGGTTGGTTTAGGTTCTTTTTTGTGTCTTGTTTGTGTTTTCTACGGCTGCTTCCTACAGACATATAAGCATAGGATCCACCCCAGGCGGCGAATCTGCTGGGAAGCCTGGGCGACTGGGAGCAGACTTGTCGGCAGAACCTCAAAGATCTGCCCAAGGCCTTCCAGGTGACTCTGCCGGGAAGCTTCAGGCTTTCGCGTTCCGGGGATGGCGGAGGGCGGAGGTGAATGAGCGAATGTATGACATGAACGAATAAGCGAAGAGAAGTCATACGTGCTGTAGTCATGTTGAGCCTGAAGGTGAACATAGAATATGAGGTCTTGGGGGCTCTTTAAGGATCAAGAGAATAATTGAGTAACAACAAAGGAGAAGACAAATGAACCCTCTCAATGCATGAAAGTCGTAGAAACTGGAACACCGACTGAGCTGCTGCACCTTGCCTTGCTAAAAAAGCCACAAGCCCAGTTCCCACCCTAAACCCAGTCCCCCCCCCCACCCTTCCGTGCGGGTGTGAGAATTGAAACTACCCCTGAGTGCCCATTCCCAGGACGAGGTCGAGTCCACGCCGCTTGGCTGCTGTTGTCCCACTGCCGCCCCTGTTGCTGCATAGCTCCGGGTGGTAGGATGGAGAATGCAAGTCATTGCTCTGTGCTCGAAGCAATGACTCCTATGTAGAGAGGATGTTGGCGTAGAGTTCCGATTGTGAGCTCAAGTGGGGCCATCATGAAACTGAGTGGCCAAGTTCAGGAGACGACGACTGTGCTCTGATCTTGGTGAGAGATGATAAGGGCGCTCTAGAACTCTACTTGCTATGATCCTGGAGCCTTCAAAAGGTTTCACTTCCGAAGGTGGTGTACAGTAGGTACTAGTATGTGCTTTGAGATCCCAGTGGCCTAAGTGTGAATACCAGAGGGAAACTCTACACCAGTTTAGCTGAGGATGCCGGATCGTGGACGCCAGGCATCCACCTCCCTGGAGGTGGAGATGAGGCCGGGAGAATATCGGCTGGTAAGTGTCTCAGGCATGTTCAGAGGGTTCAGGTACATCGGATGCCTGGGGAGATTCGCCTTCCTAAACCTTAGAGCCTTAGAAGCCTGAAGGCCTCTTGTGGAGGCTTTTGAGGTCTTCTCTGCTGCCCTGAGTGACGGCCTGCTCCCGCAGGCAGCATTCCGAGTGGTGCTCCGCCACGATCAGGAAGCTCTCCACCTTCGCTGCGTCCATGCTTCAGGAGCCTTGCTTTTTGCCAGCTCCGCCCTAGCAGTTGCATCTCGCCGGTTTAGATCTTGGATCGTTTCGCTAACACTTGCGCCTGGACTTCGCAACGCCATAATGTGCTGACTTGACTAAACCCTAAATGCTAAACCCTAAACCCTGGCACTTCCTCAGTCCTCGCAAAGATGGTGCTGCGCTTTCCTTGAAGGAGAATGCCCGCCTGCGCCAGCGTCATGTGGAGCATCCACAGCTCCCACTGCCAGCCGCCCAGCCCCTTCGGCTTGTTTGGGGTTTAGGGGTCAAGCCCAAAGGAATGTTAAAGATGTCATTTTGTGCTGTAGACGGTGCGAAGGGGGGGTATAGGCATAGCTGCCAACATGTTTGAAGGTACCTTGGTACTTCGACTGCACACACACACACATAGGCCATAAGCACGCACGCGCACAAAACCAAATGAACTAGGTGCGAGGAGTAGTGAGTTATTCAGTTTGAAATAAGCATTTCAAGAATGCCCTTGGAATCATGTTGCGTTTACTTTGATACAATAACAGCAACCAGAACAAGAAAAAACCATCATCAGCAAGAACAGCTCAACATAAAGGATTGCGTTGAAGCATTATAACCACATGTATCAAAACCCTACACCCTAAACCCCCCCAAAAAAAGGGATCAGGGATTAGTAAGGCCCTATTTGGGGAATATGGGCCCTTGCACCCATCCCCCCCCTCGCCCGGATTCGTTCTAGCCTTGCCCTCAGAGCTTCAAAGCGCCCAGGGGCATTCTGGAGCCCCCGGCCTCTGCAGACGAGGCAGGGCGAGCCTTCATAGCCGAATCCCCAAGGAGGCTCCCAAATGGGGGTGTCCGAAACTCGGGGTACCTTGTTGGGGTCCCGATTGTAAGGGAATCCTACTAGTTACTAGTTGGGGATCTATATTGGGGGCCCCCTGTTTTCGTCAACCCGGCTGTCAAGCTCGCTTGGAGGCCGGCGGCCGCAGCGTCAACGTGGCGCGGCGGCAGCTGAACTTGTGCCTGGAGGCCTTCAGCCGAGGCGCGGGACGCAACAGAGGGGCCTGAATAATTAGAATAGGGCTTTGGGGGTTCTTATAGTATAGATACAAAGGCGCCATGAGGGAATATTTGTATTGATCATTCTTCCGACCCCTATATTAACATGAAACGCCTGAAGAACCTGAAGGGTCTTGGGGGTTCCCGAAAATTCGGGCTCCACATTAGGAGGTCCCCCCCCTACTTTCGTAAACCCCCATTTTGGGGGTTCAGGGTGGAAGGCCATGGCGGCAAAGCGCGTTTTCTTCCTTGGAAAGTCTGTGAGAACGAGTTCTCACAGAAGAACCTGCAAACAACCATAACAATATAGTATTTTACTATGATTTGTCAAGAAATATGATTGACAGATGCAGTCATGTCTGCAGGGTTTCAGGGTTCACATTAGGGGCTTTCATTGGCTCATCGCGTCGAGACATTGCACCCGCGCCCACATGACCCTTGCACCCTTCAGGTCGCGAGACCGAGGCCGTGCCGAGAGTTTAGGGTTTAGGGTTTAGGGTTTAGGGTTTAGGGTTTAGGGTTTAGGGTTTAGGGTTTAGGGTTTAGGGTTCAGGGAGATTCTGAGGGTCGTGACACTGTTTTTTGCTTTCCATGGCATGCTCGACTTACAGGAATCCCAGGGGCCGACGAACTCCTCGGATGCCCAGCAGTACCCTTTCTTCACTCCTGTTTTGGGGGGCTTAGGGTCCGCAAGAAAATCCCATTCAACCGAACAAGGGGCACGCCTTCTCTTCTCAGGTTGCTAGGCCGGAGAGAATCTGTCTACTCCAGACCATCTTGTTAAAGCCTAAGCCCTAAACCCTCCTACAGTGGACTCAGAGCCTAAATCCGCAACCTTGGCACTACCCAAAGCCGAGATTTTTACCGGGAAACAAAAAATGTTCTTCATCCTAGACCCAAAGCCCTTGCGCATACATCGGGCTCAAGCAAGAGACTCTGGACCGCATGTGCCTTTCCTGGCTTGTCCAAGCGTGAGCGATTCAGCATGCGTAGCCCACGGCAGCGAAAAGGCATCGAGCCAGAAACCCTAACACCCCAAAAGCCCTAAAAACCTTCAAAGCCCCAACAGCCCCCAAACGCTAACACCCCAAACCCTGCAGAAGCCATCTCCCGTGAAGGCCTCGGCGGCCCTGGTGGCAGAAGGCAGGCCCCAGCTTAGCAAAGCCTCTTTTGGGGGGGTTGTGTTGTTAATGTCGGCCCTCCGCATATCCCGACATTGCCCTACATGCTTCCGGCGCGTTGGATGCGACACTCGCTGCGTTCATTTGTTCTTTACGGCTGCTGATCCAGCAAAGAAGCGCAAAACTCTGGGCACTCCAGCCGCCCATGTTCATCCAAACTGTGTTGGGTTCCCACTTAATTAGCAGCAATAACTAATAGGTTATTGTCTGTAACAAGAGAATGCTACAGAAAAAATAATATTCGTAAGAATCACAATCGTGCTTACTGGGCGTCTTGGCCTGCAGGTCAGAAGAGCGAAGAAAAGCCTCCCAAGGGCGAGGCAAGCTCACGTCAATGTGCGAGGGGGGGGCTTTAGGGTTTAGGGTTTAGGGTTTAGGGTTTAGGCTTTGATTTCCCAAAAAGGGCCCATCAGCCCCGTGAAGTGGAGGTCGGCCCAGAAAAAAAGATTGCTTTGAAAGACCGTTGCCCCCCCAAAACAGATGCCCCCTTCTGGCTAGATCAGTGTTAGGGATCCTTTTTACTTTTTGGGTTATGGGCTTTCTTATATATATAAACAAAAAGGATCTCTTTTTCTTCCTAGGGGAACAGGGATTAAGTTCTGTAATGAGCTAAGCTCGGCAACATGCTCGGGAGCGACTGTGGCGCCGCCACCACACAACTCTCCAGGGCAAGTTCCCTAAACCATCCTAAACCCTAAACCCTAAACCCTACACCCTAAACCCTAAGCCCTAAACCCTAAAGCCTAAACCCTACACCCTAAACCCTAAACCCTAAACCCAATTGCGTGACGCGCTGCTACAGGGGCGACTGAAGGCCATCGAAATGCACCTGTCGAAAGCCGAGGTCGCCTGCACCCAAAGCTTGCAGCACCAGTTCTTCGAATGATTTGTCTGTAGGTATTTTATATTTAGCCGTAAAAACCCTTGCTCTCTACATAAATACAACCGTAGAACCCGATAGTATGTATATATATGTATATATATATACATATATTCACGTTTTGTTTTTTCAGTTTTATGTTGATTCATGTATAGTATTTACGGATTTAAGGAGCTCTTGAATCTCAGCTCCATGACTTTCACTGCAACCTAAAAAACTAAGCCTTGCAAGTTGAGCAGTCGGTTCTCTTGTGCCGGGGCCAGGGGACACTGCGGGCCGTGTCCAAGCAGTCACCGGCTGCGCGGAAAGATGTTGCACAGAGGCACGCGGGATTGGGCTATGCGGAAAGCAGCGCAAGAAATGTTGAGGTCTTTGGAGGTGTGCGCTGCCAAAGACTTAATGCGAAGAAGTGGTTCTTAGCGAACATCTGACGCGTGCAAGCTTCAACAAGTAGATATCACACACACACACACACACACACACACACACACACACACACACACACACACACACACACACACACACACACACACACACACACACACACACACACACACACACACACACACACACACACACACACACACACACACACACACACACACACACACACACACACACACACACACACACACACACACACACATCTTTGTGTGTATGTATACAGACATACTTATTTACTAGCGTTGAATAGGGAATTGGGGGATCGGGGAAACAGATGACCTAATTATATCCCTTTCAGGCCCTAAGCGGGTTTTGTAGGGTACCTGATTCCCGAATTCCCTACAAAGAGCCAGTAGGTAGTAGGTTTAGAAGTGCTCTTCGCGATGGACCGGCCCTGCTTTTGCCAGGCCCGCAGAGGAGAAGCGGGGGCCGGAGATTTGGCCGCAACGTCAAGGGAACCCCAATCTGGTTCAGGTTTGAACAACTCCTTGTAGGGGTTTCATCATGACCCTACCCAAGACATCCTTGTGCATGTGTGTAGACGTATGCTTTTGCATAGACGTATGTGCATCGATTTTCTTGTATAGACGTATAAATACAATATCAATGCCAATGCATATATATATATATGTATATATATATATACATATAATATATATATATATAGAATATATATATATATATATATATATATAATACGCATACATACATATAGAATACCTGTTGAGCCCACTACTTGGCAGCCAAGGAGGGCTCCGTGGCCTCGGAGAGCTCCACGGCGGCCTCTCAGGCTTCCGCCTCGCCGCCCAAGGCCCCGGATCTTTCCGAAGAAGCGAGCGTTTAGGGTTTAGGGTTTAGGGTTTAGGGATTAGGGATTTAGGGATTTAGGGTCTTTCAGGGTTTAGGGGCTACAGGGTTTAGGGGTTTAATTGCAGGGTTTAGGGGTTTAATTACAGGGTTTAGGGGTTTAATTACAGGGTTTAGGAGTTTAATTACAGGGTTTAGGGGTTTAATTACACGGTTTAATTTACCTGGGAGCGAGCGTTTAGGGTTTAGGGTTTAGGTTTTCGGGATTTAGGGATTTAGAGATTTAGGGTCTTTTCAGGGTTTAGGGGTTACAGGGTTTAGGGGTTGAATTACAGGGTTTAAGGGTTTAGGGTCTACAGGGTTTAGGGGTGCAGTAGGGTTGGAGTTGGAGGCTTTATTGTTCAGTGTGTTGGGGTTTGCGGTTTTGATGGGGTCTTTGGATTGGGATGAAGAATGTAGAGTTGGAGTTCGGTTTGGCTTGGCGCACCCAAATATTCAAAAAATGTCCGTAAACCCTGAACTCTGAACCCTGCTGCCTAAACCCTAACCCCTAACCCTCAACTTGGCTATGCGGGTGCCAGAAACACCCTAAACTGTAAACCCGAAAACCCCTCAATGCCCTGGAAGTGTCGGCTTCTCAAAGGCCTCCGCCTCAGCTTCGCCCCGGTCTCCGAAACCCTCGCCGCGCGCGGCCGAGCTGCCGCCGGGGAAGCTCCTTGGGCACCAAAAGTGAGCCTTCAACAATCGGGTTTAGGGTCTTTAGGGTCCATGATATGGGGGAGTTTATAGGGTTTCGGGCATAAGGGGGGCTTGAGGTTTAAGAGACTAGGGTTTAGGGTTTAGGCTTGGTTTAGTAGTAGCTTAGGGGAGTGTGATCCTCTGCGTTCACTTGGTCCCTTGAGGCACTCGGCGGCCGCACCGGGGAGCCGGCAGCGCAGCCCCCGGGCGCCCCTGGGCGTCGATGCCCTGATCTTTTGTGTGTTGGTGGCCTTTCCCAAAACTGCCAAAGACTCTGGACCACAGCTATATATATCCTTTCTTCCCTTTGGTTCCTTTGAGGCCGATGATGATGGTGACAGGTTTCATGATAGTTGGGTAGAATTCAACGCCATGACTCCTCCGATCACACCCCAAAAACCTCCCAAACCCTATAATTCAACCTTAAGGTCTCCTAAGCCCAAGACTCGCCACCTCCAAGGCAGGGCAGGGGCAGCGAGAAGGGCAGTGGGGCTGCGCCTGCGGCGGATGGCCGTAAGCGTGCAGCTGCCGTTCCCGCGACGCAGCGGAAAATGGTGGCGTAGTGCGTTAGGGTTTGAGAGGGGACTGTTGCGAGATGGCCTATTTTCAAGAGTGTGCCGACTAGATCCAGAAGGTGTAGTTAGGGGTCCATGCCAGTCTGCTCAGGTGCTGGAGACGTCGGCCCTCAAGAGTGAGCAGGTCGAGCGTGATTTGGCTGCAAGAGGTGTTTTTGAGCAGCGCTCGGTGTCCCATGAAATGTGACTTCGTATTTTCGCACATGTTGCCAGAGCTCTGGATCCAGGACTGTCTCAGTCACAGAGTAGGTCAGCATAGTAGTGCTGATGTTTGATGTGGGTGTTGCTTCTGAGCCAGGCATAGCAAGGCTCAGTGCCTGAGGTGGCCCCTGATGGCCCCTGGTCATGGTCCGAACGGCTTTGCAACCATACAAGGGCTGGAACGGTGATGTTTAGATTGATGCCAGGCTGCGCAGACTTCCTGCGTTGCATCCACGGCATCCGCGCCTGTTCCATCCATGTAGACATTGCGGGACGCTGGCAAGTCAGCTCCTGCGGCCGCGTTTGCAACACGCGAGGCCAAATCAGCTTCGGAAACGCTTCTTTCGATGGTTACCGGCGGGTAATAATAGAGCAACGGTCCCTGCTGGTGCATCGACTGGTCGCTCGGGCTTTCCTGGGCATCCCCCCAAGCCCGAGTCATTCGCAGGTCAACCACAAGGATGGCAACCGATCGAACAATCGTGTGCAAAATCTCGAGTACCTAACTCCCACGGAGAACATGGTGCATTCTTATGCCAATGGTCGCAACTGCTTTTCAAAGCCTGTGCTTTGGCGGCGAGTCGGTGACAGTTTTTGGAACTTGTGCCGCTCACAAAGCCAAATGGCACGCGAGCTGGGCGTGCACCAGTCTTCTGTGTCCAGAATCTGCAGACAAGGGTTCGGTCAGACTGTGGGCTTCGAGTTCAAGTTTGCTGAGCAGGATTCTGATGCCATCAGGCACGAAGTTTACGCTGGCGACTATAGTGGTGAGGAGTGGAGGCAGGCCTGTCACCCAAAAACTGGTGAGGCCATTGACCACATGATGGTCAGCACCCTTGGGCGTGTGTCCAAGTCAACAGGTCGCATTTCACATGGGACACTGAATGCGGCAGGGTATTGCGTGACCAATGGGAAGGACGGATCATTTCGGGTTCACCGCTTGGTCGCTGCGACATTCCTCGGGCTTCCCATGTCTCCAAGCCTGCAAGTGCACCACATTGACGGAAACCGCAGGAACAACTGCATAAACAACTTGGAATACGCAACGCCTTCGGAGAATTGCTTGGATGCTCAGTCTCGAAGCAAAGGATATCGTTCAGGCAAGCCGATACTTGGACGCTGTTGCAGTGAGAGCGCATGGGTGCGGTTCTCTTCCGTGTCTGAAGCAGCGCGTGCTGCTAACGTCTCATTTCATTTCGTGGTCTGGGCTTGCAAACACGAGGCGGCACTTCGAAATGGCTGGACCTTCAAGCCAGTCATGTCCACAGATGTCCCAGGCGAGGAGTGGCGAGATGTGATCATGCCTGATTGTTGGGTACGTGTTTCTGTCTCAGAGGTGCTTGTCTCTGCCAGCTGGCGTCGAACACCAAGCCAGCGACAGTTCACTAACACGACTCCTGGTGTCTGATGGCAAAATCAGCACCAATGGTCAGAATCTCATACAGCTACGATGACTAGTTGGTGGCAGGTGCCGTGGTTGCCCTGCGTTTTTGGTGGGTCTAGGTTCCTCGTAGGTAGGCCCGGGGGAGGGGTGAGGGGTGGGAGGGAACCAACGTCTATGCCCAAAACGTTTCTGAAACAAGACGTGCTGTCCGGGCGTTCATGCCTTTTCGTGAACATGCCGCCCAAACAATTAACTTTGCTCTTGACTCTAATAGTTCATAGTTTGTGGGAACCTCGACAACCCATTTTCCTACTAACCCATCAAAAACCTAGGCTTCGTAGCACTCGATGGTCAACCTATGCACCCGCACCGAGTAGTTGCATCCTTCTTCCATTGTCGGATGTGAATCGAAAGTGAATCATGCTGCTAGAGTATCCTTCTTCTACTATACCGTGATTCTTCTGATTTCTTGTGGCTCTAGTCGTGCCAATCGGCATTGCATCCCTGTGTCAAGGTAGTGTTCCCAGCAGCTGCTTGTACAACAGCCACTGGATTGCAAGGTCTTTAAAACAAGGGCTTCTTGGAATCGGGCCTCTGGGCATGGAACTGCAGTCACTTGCACTTGGTTTTGGTTGCGGCAATGTAGTGGGCAGCAATTGAGCAGCGCAACCTCCTCCAAGCAGACTGAAGGTTCGTCAAGAGCAGCATCAGCACCGCCCTTGCTGTTACTCTAGTCGGAGCACTGAAGCGCTTTTATGGGATCCGTTGACGCACCTCCACGGTCATCTAAATTCCTTGCTGCTCCCCAATTGTAGTGGAGAAGCCGACACGCAGGCGACAGCAGCAGCGGCAGCGGCAGTCGACCAGGGCGCGGCGCATATCCACCCAGCTGGGACCACAGTTCCATATGCGCGCCTTCAGTTTTTCAAAGAGGTGAGGTAACTCTAGGATGCAGAGCGGGGCTCGACTTGCAAAAGTTTCCTCTCGAAGCCCTCTGTCTTTCGGCGATTTCGTGATACTCTGTGTCCAGGGAATTTGTCGGGACCTGGAAAGCATTGCCGAGGCCCGGAGAACTCCAGTCCGGATCCGCCCCATGCGCGCTGGACTGCTTGAGCTCCAAACTCGTGTGAGTCTAACAAATCTCTTCCTCTTCATGCTGCGCACGTAGGAACGGCGCTTCGGATCCGGCGACATACAGTATTTCCAGTCACTGCAACCCCACAGAGCTGAAGAAGCCGTGAAGGAGATCAGTGCACGCTCAGCCTTTGCAGGACCGCCCAGTTCAAGCCCGTCGAGGGTGACAAGCCGCCGACGCAGCGGGAAAGCGAGGTGAAGGGGGGTCCGCCAACATTCGCCAGAATTTCTTGGGATTTTTCATGATTTTTCGAATCTCGTCTGGCGATGTCCCTAGACAGATCTTCCTTCAGATCACGCCCTCCAAAAGCTTCTGTCGTCACCCGCGCTGTATGCCAGGTGCCCGCCTCGACAGCAACAGGCTTCTTGCCTGCCTCAGTTTTCACTTGAGCACAGTCTCCTGCTGATGTGTTGCGTCAAAGTCCAGAATTGTTTGCTGAAACTGGCTGCTTCCCTCCAACCCCCCCCAACCCAGACAACCCCGCCGACTTCCCCCCTATCCCCCGAGCTGTAAACCCGACACCCCAAGAACCCCCCGCGCTGTGGAGTGAGTGGATTTCGAAACAGTTCACACTGGGAACGACGAGGTGGGAACAGCGCCGAGTCGCCTCTTGGATCAATGGGTTTGTTAGCAGTATACAAGCCAGAATCAGAATAATTAGAATTCCCTTGGATCCGGATATGACTTTCGGATGTGGGGCGGGGGGTGGTAATTAGGTAAGGGAGGGATTGAGTGACTGAGTGAACTAAGGGCCATTGCTTCTTTTGACTCGCAGCACTTAGACCGGCTGTCGCGGCGCATGACATTCATCTTCTCATTTCTTAGATGGTGTCTCTTGCAGCATAGCAGCGCATGTGGCCTCTGCAGATGAGGCGAATGAACCCTAAAGAGGGTTTATAAATGGTCCATAGACCTTGATTGGTATTGACTATATATATATATATATGTATATCTATATATATATGTGTATATATATATAGGTAGGATATGTATATGTATACACATCCACACATGCACATACATACATATACATACGTTGGGGTCCTTCTTGGAACCCAATTTCTGCTTCCAATAACTGGACTCAACCCAGGGCCAAGGGCAGCCAGAAATCGTCGCCTCGGAGCGCGTTGCAGTGTCTGAGCCGCAGCGGCGGGCTCTAAGCTTTGCTTCCCTTGTAGTTTGTGAGTTCTTAGAAGCCGGAAGGCTCCGACATCCAGCCATGTAGCGTTTAGAACTTAGGGTTTAGAACTTGGGGTTTAGAACTTAGGGTTTCGGGTTCAAAAAAAAGGGCCGTTTTTTGCTGTGACTTCCGAAGCTGGGAGTGGGAAGGCGAGCCTGGCCAGACGTCCGGCCTGCCGGGGGCGGCGGCCGCGCGCACGGCGAGGAGCGGGACAGCGACAAGGAGAATCGGGCGAAGGGGATGCGGCCCCCTGGCCTTAAACAAAGGTGCCTTTATAGGGCTGTTTATGGGGTTATAGGGTCTAATACCCCATCGGGCTTAAGTGACTTTAGTGGAGGAGTTCGGGGGATTCAGGGCTGGAAGGGCCATTGGGGGCCTGGTATGGCTTGGTAGGGTTCGGTGCCCAGTCATCAACCCCGACGCCCTCAACCTGTTTATGGGGGTCCTGAAGGCGAAAACGAGTGGGTTGTCCGAGCTCTTTCTGCTGGTGTAGATTTCCAGGTACATAGCTTACTTCATACAAGGCGTCCATACTTGTTAAGAGCTTGATAGTGATAGATAGAAGTCTCGTCCTCGACACACATAAGGACACACATAAGGGTCTTTCCGGGGAAGCATCGCTCGCGGTCGGGGTGGGACCTGGAACGTGGTACGGGTCAGACACGGCTCTTCTTCTTGCCGTGGGCTTTGAGTTTTTAGGGTTAAGAAAGCCTAATTCTTAGGGTTACGTCTTAGGTATTCGAAGCTCAGGCCTGTAAGGCTTAGGCTTCTTCCGGAAGGTTTTGGGTGCCCCTCCAAGTTCTCCTCTTAAACCCTGAGTTCCTCAATAAAAACTACACGAATCGCTGAAATGTCAAAAGCTGGGTCCTAAACTCTATAAAGCCTAAAACCATGTATGTGTTTCCAGCTAGCGTGAAAGAGTCCGTACCCGAAACCCTGAACAACCTCGAGGGTTTAAACCCTTCGCCCGTATAGCCCTAAACCCTAAACCCTAAACCCTAAACCCTAAACCCTAAACCCTAAACCCTAAACCCTAAACCCTAAACCCTAAACCCTAAACCCTAAACCCTAAACCCTAAACCCTGTGCTTGCCTCAGGTATCTTCAGGGCGGCGAGAGTGCCGCAGATGTGTTTGCCCGGGCAGAGGCCGCCCTTGCTGTGTCTTGGAGCTTGGCCTTCTCCAGCTCACAATACCCCCCCCCCCCCCCCCTTAAAAAAAAAAGTTAAACTTCCCAAAGTCCCCAAGACCCAACACCGTAGCTAACCCCCTAAGAAGTTGAACCTGCCAAAGTCCCCGCAAACCGAAAACCCTAAACCCTAAACCCTAAACCCTGAACCCTGAACCCTAAACCCCGCAACAGGCAACCCCCCAGGCGGCTATTGCCCATCCCTTCCTCCCAAAAGCCCCCCAAACTCACTGAGTCGAAGCTCCCCAAAGCCCCCCGCTCGCACACCTAGACGGCTCCTGTTGCGGGGTGCCGATGATAGTGTGGTTTAGTATAGTACAAATACGAAAAGTAGGTACCCCTCCATGAAGGACCCAGATATATGCTTGTGGACTAGATGAACACCGGTTTTGCGGTCCATGTGCCCTGGCTAGGGATGAGAGTAGTCTAGGGAAAAACCCTGAACCCTGCACGTCGCGCTCAGCCGCTCGGATGTCGGAGCCAGCGCAGGGGTAGACCCCACACAGGATCTAAGATCCTAACTTTTCGGGGCTCATTCGGTCCCCCAAAAGATGCCTTTTGAAGGGAGCCGCTTACCAGGCGCTCTGCGAAGCACAGCGCTTCGCTGAGGCGGCGGAGCTCTTCCGGCGCACTGTGCCGATTTCATGGGGACGTGGGGGGGATTGCCTTTTTTGGGGGGTTTGGGCTTAGGGTCTGTAGGGCTTATAGGGTTCAATAGGAGTTCAGGTTTCTGTTCGAGCCTATGTGCCTCATGACGTGTTAAATCTTAAGCCGCTTTCAACGGGATATGTGATATACGAGCCCAATTTGGGCTTCATGTGGTGCCCAAGGTATGAGGGGTCTCTGCCATGAGTTGGGTTGAGGCCACCTTAGGGCAGTGAGCGCCCAGGTCCAGCAGGTCTAGGGCTTAGAGCATTTTCGGGTTAAACCCTAAACCCTAAACCCTAAACCCTAAACCCTAAACCCTAAACCCTAAACCCTAAACCCTAAACCCTAAACCCTAAACCCGTTGACAATCAGTTTTGAGAACTGCCCATCCATGTCTTGGGGGCTTGGCTTTGGTTGAGGACTTCGGAGTTTAGGACCGTGCATCAGAGTCTTGCAGGTTTGAGTTCGCAAGGGATTCAAGGAAGGGACAAAATGAGTTCTAGCATGCCCAAAGAATTGGGACAATTTGCCTCTGTATCAAATACTTATAGCGTCCATATTCAGGATATAGCAACCAGCAGCCCTTTGAGGGTTTATATGATATTCAGGGGTTCCGAGGCCCCCCGTTAAGCCTGGCTTCCTAGGTGTGTCCTCGCAGCCCTACGGACGAGTTCCGAGCGGCATTCGCTCCGTGCAGTGGAGGCTTTCGGGGGACTCATGGCAGGTTGCACTCTTCAGTTGGGCCATCGACTCGGGTGACATGATAAAGGCAGGACTCTCGACGCTCGTGACCGTGGGCACGCCCCTAGGCATTCTGCTCTGCATCCAGAAGCCCTAAACCCGAACTTGGTCGTCAGGCCGAGGTGTGGGCGCACCTGGGTGTTGCGATGCAGCCACTCGGGCTTTGAGATGGCGGCGGGGGCTGTAGAATTTGTGCAGCTTGCTACGGCTTGAGTGGGGTGTCTGCGCGCTTATTCGGAACCCTTTGCCCTGTTCCTCCTCAGCCAAGCTTCATGACTCGGAGTTAGGAATGGTTTAGGGTTTAGGGTTTAGGGTTTAGGGTTTAGGGTTTAGGGTTTTAGGGTTTTAGGGTTTTAGGGTTTAGGGTTTAGCGTTGCTTTGCGCCATCTTGACCTTGCATTTGGACCTGGAGACTCAGCCTTTGCCCGGACGGGCACCTCAACCTCAACCCTAAATACTTTCCCATGCCATGGTAGAGTTCAGGGCTCATCCAAGTCCGAAGCCCTCAAACCTCCAATCCGAGGTCACTGGACGACATCGCTGCGGCCATCGAGAGCTACTGCCAGGCTGTGCGCCTTGACCCATCGCAGCTTGGTAGCGTTTGTGAGCCGGTGCTAGGGGTTTTGGGGGCTTTTTGGTTTTCAGGGCTTGGGGGGGTGAGGGTTTTCGGCTTGCAGCGTTGTGTTTCTTTTCGAAAGGTTTCGGTTCAGCATTTTGGGATTTGAAGGGCTTTTAGAAGGGGCAATTGTTTCTGCAGTTCCGTAGCGTCTGCACTGTGTGAGTTGCCGTGGTTCGCGACGGGCGCGAGAAGAAAAGCCTTTACTGCCGCGGGCTACTGGGTGACTAGCAGGTGCTTCAGAGTTCTTAAAATTTAGTCTTACACAAAAATTACAAGCCTTTGTACAGTCTCTAAACCCGAAACCCTAAACCCTAAACCCTCCTGCTTGCTTGACAGCGCCCGATGGCCCACCACGGAGGCTGCACGTCTGCTTTGCAAACCTGGCGACCCTGTACATGTACCTGGAAGACAGCCAGAAGGCCCAGGAGCCGTTTTTTCTGGTTTCTGTTTTGTTTTTGCTTTTTCGGAATAGGTGCGGCCGGCATGTCTTCACTCAGAAACTCCTATTTCAGGGCTAGGCGTGTGAATGTCAAGACGTGTACCTGCTCAGAAGGCCTGAAATCTTCCAAAATCGTGCAGATGCTTTGTCATCTTGGCGTTTGGGCCGGTTCCGGAACCGTTTCTGCAGGCTGCATGCTCAAAGAACGCAGCTTTCAACAGCCGCTGATGTACGGGTAGGCATGGTGCTTGGCTTCCTGGAAAAGCTTCAAAATCTTCCGCTCCCAATTCCGAGGCCCACGCTCACCGATCACATCCGTGAATCGGCGCTGCCACCGCTCGTGCAGAGTCGCGACATCAGTCTGATCGCCGGCACCGACGACTTCGACAATGCCAAGTGCGGCTTCGGCCCGGACGCCGACGGCACCGTGCATGTGGCCATGCACTCGAGGTGCCCTGAGCTCTTCTATCACAAGTGCCGCTGCGACGTCCGCAGCTTCCAGCTGCCCCCTGTACGGGAGCTGCCCTGTCCACAGGACATGGCCGGGAGCGACTTCGGCCGAGCTGACTTCCTGTCGCGGTGGATGGGCGCGATGATGCCTGCAATTGGCAACATGACCTTGTGGGATCTGTGCCTGCCTGGCACCCACGACTCCTTAACTTACGATCTTTCTGAGCAAAGAGCCCTCGGGGACACCATTCCCAACTTGGGCCCACTGGAGCTGCCACCGTTCAACCGCGTGGCGATGTCCGAGGTGCGCAAGCTGTGCGTTTGCCAGGTGATCGACATCGAAGCACAGCTTAGTGCCGGCATCCGCTTCCTGGACTTCCGGGTCATCCACTCGCGCGGCAGGTGGGTGGGAGTTCACGGCATGGAAACGCAGAGGGCTGCCTCGGTCTACCTGCAAAGGATCTCCGAATGGCTGCGTTCGCACCCTAGCGAGGTTGTGGTCCTGTGGCTGTCAAGACATGGGGATGAAGAGGGGGTCGGGGATAAGCAGTACCCCAACACGCCCACTGACGTGAAGCAGGCGTTCTACAGAGAGATCTTGCAGATCTTCGGTGATCTTGTGGTGGACCATCGGGACACACCCCTTAGCAGCACCCAACTTAGCACCCTCGTGGCTCGGAACCAGCGGGCCGTCCTGATCTGCTCAGACTGGGCCCAGTTCACGGGGGAGTCCTCGCGGGCGCTGGACGCGCGGGTGCTGCAGAACCTCGGAGACGAACTGAGGCTTCCCTACGAAATAAGGGCGATGGTAGTTTTGAGGTATATGACCCCCTAAACCTTAAAACCTAACCCCAAGCATAGCTATAGTAGTATGACATATATATATATATATCCCCAGTATATTATATACTATATGTTCAACACATTTCAACACTATATGTATATGATCGAAATTTTGGGGGTCCCTTGGCGCCTACAAGGAACGACCTGCCCGGTGGATTCGACGACCCGGTCCTCGATTCCTTGGAGTTTCTCGGGAAGTTGGCGCGCCGCGACGGCAACTCGGTGTGCCCCTGGGGATGTGTTATGTTTGCCCTTTTGTGGTTCAGAGGATGTGGGTTGCAGAGGGTCATGTTTAGGGATACATGTCAGGAGGGCAAGAGGGCTTTAGGGCGATCCTAGGCAAGTATCACATTGTCTCGCTCGCCAACAGCGCCGACAAAGGGGCGTTTGTGAGGCAACTCTTGGCCAAGCCAGGGCACAAATTCATCGAGCTTTGCGGCGGCGACGTCCGCAGCAAATTCGACGATGTGCCCGGAATGCAGAACTACCCGTGGAGACAGGACGATTGTGCGAGATTCACCAACTACTACGCTCAGACCGTGCTGGATACCGTGTGGTGCAGGTGCACACTCCCCAACGCGATCTACATAGACATGGTGACCACAGACGGCAGTATTGACATCGGAAATGACCACAAGTTTGGGTATGTCGACACAATTCTCGCGTACAACGCGCTGCAGAGCAAAGACAGGAACGTGACCTCTGCGATGATGTGGCGCAGAAGCCTGTTGCCACTTCGCAGATGGGAAGATCGCCAGAACGGCCGTTCGGCCGTGTGGCCTCTGACAACGTAGTCGGGATTATATTTATTTGTTTATTTATTTATTTATAGTATACAGTTGACATACACATATACAAAAGAATTACACTAAAAATTATCTAGTTTACGTATTCATGTGTGTGTACTATATATACATGCATGTACATATCTGGTACAATGTATAATGCACTATATATTCTACATTAAATCTCATATAGATTTTGACCAAGACCAGTGCCTGGTACAGTAGTGCACTCTCGCCATCTCTCGCCTAGTTTCGCCTAGCAAGCTGAGGTTGAGCGGGCTGAGTTACTCAAGTCGCGCATGACGGGAGAAAGCTTCCTTGGGGACTGTGACTAAAGGAAGTCTAGCCCTGAAAGGGGTATAGGGTTTAGGGTGAAGTATATATAGGGTTTAGGGTTTAATTAGGGTTTCGGGTCCGTATACCGTGAACCCTAAACCCTAAACGTCCCATCTTTAGGGTTAAATTAGTCCCGAAGGCCGATGTACAGGGCACGCGCGGTGTACCCTTGTCATGCAGCGAGAAAATGGCGCTCCTTCACAGACGTGACAGAGTGCTTGTGTGAGTGATTTGTTAAGCTTGAGTCCCCCCAAATGTCTTGTAAACCCTACAGACGGACCGACTCAACCAAAAACCTCTGAAGCCTCACTACAACTCCTAAAGCCCTAAAGACTTACAAAACCCTAAACCCTCAACCTAAACCCTAAACCCTAAACCCTAAACCCTAAACCCTAAAGCCTAAACCCTATCCCTGGCTGCAATGGCTCCAGGAGCACATCTCAAAGGCGCTGCTGCTTGACCCCTCGAACGAGGCATACCTCGCCGCCCGGTCTGCGACGCAAGTTGAGAGGGGCTTGGGAGGGGGAGGGCTTTAGGGTTTAGGATTGAGGGTTTAGGGTTTAGGACTTAGGGTGAGGTTCTGGAAGGGACACGATTTCCCCCCTCAACTGCATGGTCGTACAGAGGTTTTCCCGGTTTCAAGCTTTAGTCATGGTACTTATTGAAGCAGAATCTAGGTGGCTGCTTTTCATGTTGATAAGCGAAATCAGGTGTTAAGCGTTTGTCGGTCTGCGGGGCTAAGAGTTCGGTTTAGGGTGTTTTCTTGGTGGGGGTTATATCCCTAAACCCTAAACCCTAAGCCCTAAACCCTAAAACCTAAACCCTAAACCCTAAACCCTAAACAAAAAAACACCTACACCCTAAACCCCTACAGGGCTTACAAGGCTTGTTGGCAGGAGGGTTTTGTAAGATGAAAGGTGGATGGCCGATGCCATCAATGCGGAGCCCATAGGAGCCCGACAGGCTTAATCCGTTTACAAGTAGCCAGCATACTTGTACATGTATGTAAGAAGAAAGTTCGATTCATGCATTTTGTTGGCTTCTCATGTGTATATACATATACACTGAGACTGTGAGAGAGAGAGAGAGAGAGAGATAGAGAAAACAAAAACGAAAACTCTTCGCTGGGTAGAAGAAGAGAGAGAAAAAAAAAGAGAAAGACAGACTGCTGGAGACCCGGCTATGGAACCTGCCCTCCATCTCAGGAGATCAAGCGATCCTTGGCGAGTGGGACACTGGCGGCGTGAAGTTTGCACGAAATTCGCTCGGAGAAAGCGGGCTTGGCGCAGCTAGCCGCCAGAGATTTTCGACATGCCACTGTGTCGTTGAATTCTTGTGGGGATGCATCTGGGCTTTTCTGTTCAGAGACCTGGATATATGGAGTGACTTTGGTCATTCTGCGTGCTTTTATGTGCATGGAGATTTGCGCTCTTTTCGGGGGCGTTTTTCACCGCGTGGCTCGCACGCGAGCGTGACCTTGCAGCCACAAACGTGACCCGTATGCAGATTATGCAGGCCAAAGTAGTCGCTAGGCCGGACATGCTTTTCATACGACGCGCCGCGGCCGTAACACATCCGCAGTTTGCCGCGGGTCTTGGACGCAGAGGGGCGTGCGCTCACTCGCCGGATCAGTTTCACATCCTTCTCCAGGCCTCAGGTGCATCCTTGGGAAGGACTAAGAGAGGCGTAGATTGGGTTCAGGGTTTAGGGGTTTAGGGGTTAGGGTTTAGGGTTTAGGGTTTAGGGTTTAGGGTTTAGGGTTTAGGGTTTCGGGTCCAGGTACCCTCAGAGGACTTCGTGGCATAGAGGGTATGTATGCCCAATGGAAAAGGCTCCAGTGTCATCCCCTGGACTGGAGAAGGGAGTTCACAAGCAACTTGGAGGTTCTTGCAGAATTACAAAGGGTTTAGGGTTTAGGGTTTAGGGTTTAGGGTTTAGGGTTTAGGGTTTAGGGTTTAGGGTACCCTACAAGTACCTAGCTAAGCCTACTACTACCCTACTTACCCCCAAACCTTGAACTTCTGTGTGCGAGTGTGGGCATGGAAAGCCCTGCTCATACCGACCCATGAACCTCCAAGAATAGGGGGGAGTCGCCGAAGCTCGCCAGGCCTTTGCCAAAGGGCTGAACGGTTTAAGGGTTTAGGGTTTAGGGTTTAAGGTTTAGAGTTTAGGGTTAAGGCGTTCAAGGGTTTATGTCTGCGTGAGCTGAAAGCACACTGTGTTGGGAATGGAAAGAGGTCCGTCATTGTGGCATTGTATAGAAGAGGCACCCGTTACGCGGGCGCCAAAGCCCTGGAGCATGGGTAGCTCGGTTTAGGGTTTAGGGTTTAGGGTTCAGTGTTTAGGGTTTAGGGTTTAGGGTTTAGGGTTTAGGGTTTAGGGTGGCGATTCAGGAGAGTCCTGGATGAGCTTCAGAACCAGAGCTGGGAATTTGTTCATGCGCCGGTTTGTGGCAGCCTTCGGGTTTAGGTTTACTCGTAGCGACCCTTCGCAGAAATCCTGACCGCGTACGGCTCTGCACTTCCGATCCCGGCTCAGTCCCGCATGCTAGTTTAGGGGTGTTTGTAGAAATCCGGGTGGAGCAATTCTTGATGGAGTTATTGCCGATTTCCGTTCGTTCCATTGACAGGGGTGGTGGCTCAATGCAAGAAGATGCTACAAGCTGCAGCTCTGCGAGTGAGCGTGAAGTGGGTGCCTGCGCGTGAGAAGACAAACCATGACTTCTATATCCCTCTTCGGAATTATTATTGTTTTTTTTATTTTGCCTATATTAAACCCAAGAGGACGTTAAGAATATTATCTTATTAAGGTTCTAAGGGGTATAGTCCTGCACAGGGTTTTGGACTTCGAGGTTCTGCTCAATATGAGGCCTGCACCTCACCATGTCTAGACACTCTTCAGCTAACCCCGAACACTGAACCCGAAATCCTACCTTTCCAAACCTGCATCTAGCAGGGGAGGGATGGGTTTCCCACCCATCTAAAGTTCCGACGCACTTCTTCAGGTTTGGTTGCGGTGCCCTGCGTCCCCCCCACCCCCCCCCCCCCGGCCCCTCGCCGCAGGGCTTCCGAACACACGGGACACGGTTCTTCAACTCCTTCCCACACCTCGCTACTTCCCGAGATGTTGGGGACTCCCTGCCCCAAGGAGCCCTAGCCTGTCCTTCCGCAAGCTTCGTGCTTGGAGTTTAAGGAGTCAGGGGTGCAGGCGATGAGGCTTCAGGGGAGCCAAGGGGCCCGACTGCCCAGGAAGTACTGCACGCCGGAATGCCAAAGGGCTCACTGGCGCGCTGCAGCCTAAGAACCTGGGTCACACACGCCTTTGGCCCTGACTCGCCCGTCTAGGGTTTAGGGTTTAGGGTTTACCGCCCCTTCATGACCATGCAAGTCCCATAAAACCTTGATGTCTGCACAGAGACCCAGAAACGACCACAACTGAGGGAAGTGATCATGTACTTGTATGGAGGATCATGAATGAGTACTGCTAGCTACCAATGATCCTTGTCTTTTGAGGAACTCTATCAGTCTCAATCCACCTCTTCAGCCCGCCACTTGAGGTCCATAAAGCCAGACCCTCAGCTTCTCTGAGGCCGAGGAGTTTCTAGCGCTAAGCCCGAAACCCGAGACCCGACAAAACCCAAGAATATTTGTCGTTTTTTTGTTTTTTACTCGTAGGCTTGCTTTGGGCATGCGATGCAACTCTAAGGTGGGGTGTGGGATTTAGGTGCCTCATGGCGGGGAGAACGCAAGAGAAACGTAAATGTTGGGTATTTATAACTCGCCGGCCTGAATCTTCAAGTACGAAGAGCAAGGGCCGAATGAAGGTCCACAGCTGCTACCAGGTTGCGACATTCCAACACTAAAGGCTTCGCACGGTTTTGGAGGGTTTACACAGGCTAGTAGGACGAAGGGTCTCTTTCAGGAGTCTCTTGTAGCCTACAATTCTCAGCTACATTCTGCTACAACTCGTTTGCAAAACCCTGGCCAGCATCATTTAAGGAAGACTCCCGGCTTCAGCGGTTGAGTGGTAGCTGGTTGCCGTAAACCCCTCAACCCCAAAATCCCTAAACCCGAAACCCTGAAACACATGTGCTCGGGGGCGGCTTCTATGGGACAAGTCGGACTTCTCATGCTTTTTCGACTTGGGAATTGTGCTTTGGTTGCCTGGCTGGTAGCCAAAGCAAAGCACCCAACCCCTGAACTTGATAAATCAACCCGAAACCCTAACCCCTAATCATAATCCTCAACCACCCAGGCAATGTGTGGGATTCAGCCGGCCTCGCGTCCTCCTTTGTCCGCATGGAGCTCGGTTCCCGCGCCCAACACTGGGCCCTAGGCTGATTAAATCTTCTTGGGCTTCAGATGTTATAAGCCCTCCCTAAGCCCTAGACCCTAATTAAACCCTACGGTTTGAGCAAAAGGGCTCAGGGCTTCAGAATCGGATTTTGAGGGCTTTAGAGGTGTAGGGGGGTTAGGGCGCTGAGGGTGTGAGGGTGCGGGTCAGAGAGCCCTAAAGCCTGCCGAACCCTAAGCCTGAAACCCCAAACCTCAGCTGCGGCGCCCAAGGTAAAACGAAGGCCCCCAACTGTGTACCCTGGAGCCCTTTTTGCTGAAGGTTCATCGCTGGCTCTACGTAGGGTTTAGGGTTTAGGGTTTCTGTATGGCTACCCCACAGAGGTGATGCCTGTAACGTATCTTTCCATTTTTTAAGAAAGCCAGCCATGCACCGCCAAGGCTCTCTACTCCACAAACGATGTAGGAGTTGGCCAGACAAGGGCTTCGTGATGTTGAGAAGCCATTTTGGAGCAAAAACGATGGCTCAAAGCATCCGAAAGCCCTAAACCCTAAACCCTAAACCCTAAACCCTAAACCCTAAACCCTAAACCCTAAACCCGAAACCCTAAACCCTAAACCCTAAACCCTAAACCCTGAACCCTAAACCCTGAACCCTAAACCCTAAACCCTAAACCCTCGTCCCTCCAACTGCTCCCTGCAGGCGCTGCTCCCATCTGGTCATGGTGAGGTCTGCTCAGGCAGCAGAACTCCCAAAGAAAGTCGCTCAAAAGGTTTGGAAGCTCGTTGCTCCCCAAAAAAGCCCCTTAATTGGGGCCCACATAGGGAGTCTGCAGCGCAGTGGTGTTGAGTGGCTAAGATTCGTGAAGAAACTACTGCAGCCCGGCCAAATCTCAACAACGCCAAAGAGATTGGATTGCCAAAGCTCTGTAAACGTGCTTGGGCACGACGTCATTTTGCACAGCATGTTGCAAAGAAGCACCGTCAAGTTAAGCCATTCTCATGACGGTGGACGGCGCGCGGCATAGTCAACATCCGCCTTCTGCTGTTTCGGCTTGAGGTACGCAGCAAGCAAGCTGCCTGTGACAGGCAGTGGCACTTGCATCGTTTTTTTCGGAAAGTAACGCGACCTAGCAACAGAAGTCTTAGATGCTCAGCTGTAGTGCCTGCTTGCACAACGCAGACCTCGTAATTTGCTTTCATTCAATCTACCACAAGTTGTGTGGATCTACTACAAAACATGTGCAGACATTTCCCATTCCAGAGACCCGCAAACACCCCGAGCGGCATGATGCTGCCCGCAGGGATGGTGATGGGAGAGACTTTGTCGCGCTCTTGTGTGTGTATATATATATATGTGTGTATATTTGTGTGTGTGTGTGTGCCCTCGCGCCTCTTCTTTTTTCGGTAGGGCTTCCTAGCCCAAAACCCGAACTCTAAACCTTGCAAGCCCTAACCAGTCCCCCAAGGCTGCAGGGGTTTGGAAAGCATGCAGGCTTTATGGTTTCCAAATGCAAGCGCATCTGGCCCTTGGTATCTGTAGTTTAGGTTATACAAAAGGTTGTTTACCCTGATATATGTATATATATATATATATATGTATAAGGTTAACAATGGTAACGATAAACTACCCTAAGCCCAAAACCCTAGACCCCAAACCCTGAACCCGATTGTAATCAAACCAGGCCTCTTTATCAGACGGGACTGAGGAGCGGACGGAGGAGCGGACGGAGGAGCAGACGATGCACACGAACACGGAAGTTCTGTCCGATATCGAAGATGGCGTACTTGGCTAGCAGTTTTCCGTGGAAAGCGCGGGTTTAGGGTTTAGGGTTTCGGGTTTAGGGTTTAGGGTTTAGGGTTTAGGGCTAGGACTCTGCCATCTGAGCTCTGGGAAGTTCATGCGCGGGGGTTTGCAAGCAGGGTTTCAAGCACGCCAGGCAGGGCTACACCTACTTGTGACCCTAACCCCTCACCCCTAAACCCTAAACCCTTAAACTGCGGAGAGCGCCGCTGGCGCTCGAGGCTTCGACCGAGGTCCCCGACCGAGCGTCTCCACTAAGAAGGGCTGGCAGATTCCAGAAACCCTTGCTTCAGGCCCTGTGACCCCCTCCCTGGATCTTTCTGGGACCTGAAACCGTCCTGCAGCCCCTGGGACCTCCCTCCTGGATGGCTGGACCCCGAAACTGGAACAGCATTGTTTGCGTAAACACGAGCGTCTTCACACCACACACCCCTCTTCCTGGAGTCTCAGGTTGGGCCAGCAGATTCCAGGACGCTTCTGGACCCAGCGTCCTCCACCTCCGCCTCCCCCCTGCTTCCACCTGGCTGGGACCCCTGGTCGCTACACCTCCCGCTTTTTTTTGAAAAGCAGGGCCGGCCGAGGCCCCTGCTACCCCCTACCGTTTTGCTGCCCTTTTGGCTACATGAAACCCGAGATCCAGGATTTGCCAGACCCGTAGTGAAAGTGTGGGTGTTTTAGTAAGGCATAGAAGAGCAGGGGCCGGCCGAGGCCCCTGCTACCCCTTCCGTTTTGCTGCCCTTTTGGCTACATGAAGCCCCGAGATCCAAGATTTGCCCAGATTTGTAATGAAAAATGTGGTTTTTTGGTATTACAATCGACGGTCTTGGGCACCCTCCATTTTGCTCCGCGAAAGCTCGAAGAAGTTCCCTACGAGCCACTGACAGGCTCCACAAAGCTCGGGAGCCCACCCTGCTCTTAAAAAGCAAGAAAGCGCCCGGGTGCTTTTAGCACCAGCGAGCTTCCTAAACCCTAAACCCTAAACCCTAAACCCTAAACCCTAAACCCTAAACCCTAAACCCTAAACCCTAAACCCTAAACCCTAAACCCTAAACCCTAAACCCTAAACCCTAAACCCTAAACCCTAAACCCTAAACCCTAGCCATCACTCCGAGTAGGTCTTGTGCCATGACGATCGACCTTTGTACGAGCGTGTGCGTTGAAGCCCTAGATCATAAACCTTCGACCTGAACTTTATACCTGCACGGCTCCCCGAAGCTAGGTTTAGGGTTTAGGATTTAGGGTTTAGGGTTTAGGGTTTAGGGTTTAGGGTTTAGGGTTTAGGGTTTAGGGTTTAGGGATTTGGATTCAGGGCTTCTAGGACCGAGAGTAGGCCCTTGTTCCCTTGTTTTGGGGCTTAGGTTCCCTTCTAAGCCCCTTGAAACCAAAAGGGCGCCTCTTTGACCCTTAGGTTGCTCTTGGGTCTAGATGCCCTATACCCTAAATCCCAAGCCCCACGGTGTTTATCTCCTAAACCCTAAACTCTAAACCCCAAACTCTACACCCCAAACCCTAAAACGTAAACCCTAAAACCTCCTAAACCCTAAACCCTCCTAAACCCTAAGCCCTAAACCCTAAACCCTAAACCCTAAACCCTAAACCCTAAGCAGCAAAGGCATCCAAGTCGTTGCTCGCACCCGGAACGACGCCTGCGCCGCAATTTTCACAGTGGCGGTTGCGGTGGTATCAGTTGGCAAGCCGGAGACCCTGAACCGGAAGCCCCAAGCCCTAAGCCCTTTAGGGTTTAGTGATATTTAGGGTTTAGGGCTCAGCGTTCAGGGTTTTATAAACCCTAACCCAAAGCCCTACAAGCTCTACAGCCCTGCCACTGTTGGCGACGGCATGGCTGGCGGGCACGAGGCTCTTTCCCTGAGGGGCTTTTTGTGATCGAACTTCTCAGCCCTGCAACCCAAGGCTTGAAAATTCTCAGAGCCTCTCGAGGTCTGGGGTTCGCAGCCCACAACATGTACTCTAAGCCCGACTAGTCATCTTGGCTTCCTTGGCCAAACCAACACATCCACATCTTGCCTTTAGCCATGCCAGATCTGCTTTGTTGGTGGGCCAGCCCTGCCTTCCCATTTTTGGTGTCGGTTCCGGGATTCGCATGAAGCAGAGGCGCCGGTCGCAGCAGTGATGGGGGCGGCTGAACAACCCCACAACATGGCCCTTCAGAACCTAACTCTAGACCTTGAACCCTAAACTCTCAACTCTAAACTCTGGGTTCTAGCACCCCAAGCCCTTCAGACTGGAAACCATAAACCCTGAACCCTGCACCTTGAGTAAACTCTGGATGCTAGCACCCCAAGCCCTGTAGAGCCTCTAAGGGTTCAGGGTTCAGGGTTTAGGGTTTAGGGTTTAGGGTTTAGGGTTTAGGGTTTAGGGTTTCGCGTTCACGGTTTAGGGTTTAGGGTTTGGTAAGTAGGGTCAAGCTGGAGAAGCAAACGTAATTCGGGCGCCATGCTTTGCAGTATAATTACGCGGTATTTCACCCGAACCCTAAACAGAAACAGGCACCAACCCCTAAACAAAAAATGGCACCAAACCCGAATCTGCATCCCAAACCTTTGTCATAGTTGGGTAACATGTCACATTCTTAAGGGCACTTAAGGCCAATAAGAAATATAAATTTAAAATGTAAATATCATCCCAACCATGAACTACCCTAAACCCTAAACCCTAAACCAAACACCCTAAACCCTAAACCCTAAACCCTAGACCCTAGACCCTAAACCCTAAACCCTAAACCCTAAACCCTAAACCCTAAACCCTAAACCCTAAACCCTAAACCCTAAACCCTAAACCCTAAACCCAATAGAAACCATCCCAGGAATGCCCGGGACTGCCTAGCTTGCCGCGACACGTTTCTTCAGCTCCCAGAGTGCCTGACCTCGCCCCTTGGTGCTGCATGATATGGGGTTTAGGGTTTCGGGTTTAGGGTTTTAGGGAACCCAAACGCAAGATTCTCTTCAGGGTTATCAAAATCCTTACCCTTGGACCCTTTTGGCCGTCAACCCTGAAACCAAAATCCGAAACCCTTAACCCTTGTCAAAACCCTAAGCCCTGTCAGTTTGCTACTGTAGACTTGTGTCACGGAGCCCTATGAGTACAGTTGCCGATCTTTGGTCTCTGCTGTGCACGCAGCAAGGGGGAGCCTTCTGGAAGAGTGTCTGAAGCCTGTTGCAGGGCTTGGCAGCCCAGTGGTACCCTTTGCCCTTTTTGGCTATGGGTTCCCTTATAAAAGAACCAACCCCAAAAAAGGGTGCCCTTATTGTAATGTGGTTACTGGACTACTAAGAGGGTCTTAGGAGTGTTCGCAAAGCGTACCCTCAAACCCACGACACTGCCATGAGCACTGTGTTGAGGGGGGAGCATAGGCCACTCACGCTGGACTTGATGCAAAAGGGGTGAGGTTAGGGTTTGGGGTTTAGGGTTTAGGGTTTTAGGGTTTAGGGTTTTAGGGTTTAGGGTTTAGGGTCTAGGTTCGGGTTTCCGTACTTCAAAAAAGGGTTTGGGCTGTGAGTGGTGTTGGTTTTGCCGGCGAGTTGACCTCAGGAGGCACATTCTTCTCAGATGCCTCTTCGGCATCCTCGGCTTTGCTGCTCTGCGCCCGAGCCGCATGCTGGAGGGGGGTTCCGGAAGCTTTCATGTTTAGGGTTGATAGGTTTATAGGGTTTACAGGGTTTATAGGGTTTATAGGGTTTTGTAGGGTTTATACAGTAGGGTTTATAGGGTTTATAGGGTTTGTAGGGTTTATAGGGTTTATAGGGTTTATAGGGTTTATAGGGCTTAGGGTCTATGGTTTAGGGTTTAACACTTTAGGGCATAGGGTTTTGCCCCACACCCTCAACCTTGTAATCCCTTTAAACCCCAAACCCCATAAACCATTGTACAACCCGACCTTTTCCCCGTAAACGCATGCGCAAAGGGCAGGGAAAAACCATAAACCCTTCAACCCCTACAACCTAAAATCAGCCAACCGCTGCACATCAAGGATTGGCCTGCTACGGGCCCAGATCTTGCCAGGCCTTGGGCCGTGGGGCTGATATTGGATATAAGGAACATAGGATTCACTGAGCGCCGGTGAGAGAGAAAGAGGCAGGCTTAGAGTTTCGCAGGGGGATTATAAGTAGGCTTGCCATAGCTCGTCGTATGCCTAATTTTAAATTTGCCCACCATAAGACTTCAAGTGGGGACCATCCGGGCTCCCACTTTGCTACCCGGGAAACCTGTGTGGGATGGGGTGTGTTGTAGGGTTTAGGGTCTTCCGACTATCATGAGCAGCAACCAAGTTGTGAGAACTTTGAAAGGCAAGCTCCCCTGGACGAATTGCAGAGAAAGTATCCAAGACAGCAAGCCTCGACCCGAACAGTGAGCGATTTGCCTTGCCTGCCTCTCGTGCGATAGCGAGGGCCGAAACCCGAAACCCGAAACCCGAAACCCGAAACCCGAAACCCGAAACCCGAAACCCGAAACCCGAAACCCGAAACCCTAAACCCTAAACCCTAAACCCTAAACCCTAAACCCTAAACCCTAAACCCTAAACCCTAAACCCTAAACCCTAAACCCTAAACCCTAAACCCTAAACCCTAAACCCTAAACCCTAAACCTAGCCACCAGCCAGGGCACCCGCACCCTGCCGCGGCAGACCCCAAGATGGATCTCAGAGAAAACGCAGCGCCCTGGGCGGCAGACCCGGGGGGTTCAGGGCTTGAACGCCGTGGATTTGCGCAAGGAGCCCCAAAGCCTACACCCCTAAACCCTAAACCCTAAACCCTAAACCCTAAACCCTAAACCCTAAACCCTAAACCCTAAACCCTAAACCCTAAACCCTAAACCCTAAACCCTAAACCCTAAACCGCCCTAAACCCTAAACCCCCAACGCAAAAGAGCCATCCCCAGAGGGAGTGTCAAGAATCACCTTTTTGGGCTCCGGCTGCTCATCTCGGGCTTAGTTGGGTTTAGGCTTTGCAAGGTTTAGGGTTTTTTGTGCAAGACAACCTCGGGCCTGCTGTTGCACTGGGGTAGTCTTGGGGGGCCTGGGTTCTAGATCCCTAAACCCTCATCCCTAAATGCCCTAAACAGCCCTAAGCCCTAAATGCCCTAAACCCCCAACCCAAAATTGTGAAATGGCCAGACTTCTGGGGTTAAGAATTGCCGGGGGGCAATGGTGGGCCCTCCGCATATGAACTCCATGACTCGAAGCCCTTGATTCTTAAGTTGGGGTTTAGGGTTTAGGGGTTTAGGGGTTCAGGGGTTTAGGGGTTTAGGGGTTTAGGGGTTCAGGGGTTCAGGGGTTCAGGGGTTCAGGGGTTTAGGGGTTTAGGGGTTTAGGGGTTTAGAGGTTTAGAGGTTTAGGGGTTTAGGGGTTAAGGGTTTCAAGGGTTTAGTGGTTTAGTGGTTTAGGGTTTAGAATCTTGGCCCCAAGGAGTCCTATTTCGACAGCAGCGACGACTTCCTGAACCGGGTGCACCAGATCCAGTTTGGGGAGCCGCCTGAGGGTTTAGGATTTAGGATTTAGGGTTTAGGGTTTATAGGGTTTATAGGGTTTAGGGTTTAGGGTTTCTTCCTGAGAACTAACTACTGCTGTCTTTGTTTGCTTCGTCATCTTTCATACTGAGAATGATGACACCGTGAAGAGTTTTCAGATCCACATACGCCCAAATAGGTGCAAGGGCCTGGAGCCTTCACGGCGCCAGGCCGAAGAAGCCAGAAAGATCCTGTGCTCGTACCCTAAACCCTAAACCCTAAGCCCCAAACCCTAAACCCTCTCTGGCGGGCTCAAGCCCTATGGGAAGTTCATCAGGTTGCCTGCTTTAAGCCTAAAGGTTGGGATGTTCCCCCTTAGACCAACAGTCCCGAATAGGGATTCTCGAACCCCCTTATTAGAATCCCTATCAAGGACTGTTTGTCTAAACCCTAAACCCTAAACCCTAAACCCTAAACCCCAAGCCTTATGACTTATGAGCCCTATAAGCCCCCTAAAACCTGAAACCCTGGCCCTGTGCGCCGATGGACCCCCAACTCACTCCATGGAAGCCCGAACCCTCAGCCCACGGAGGGTCTAGGGTTTAGGGTTTAGGGTTTAGGGTTTAGGGTTTGGGGTTTAGGGTTTAGGGTTTTGGGGTTTAGGGTTTAGGGTTCCCAACGACTGAAGGAGAAGAATGTTGCGCCCTAACACCTACAACCCCCCTGCAGCTTCAGTCGCCTTCCGAGTCCAAACAATTTTTCGTGCCCTTTATGAAACGAGCCCCCGAACCAAGTCCATGATCAAAAAAGCAGGTGGGTGCCGTTTTGACTCAAGCTTCTATGGGTCATGTAGAGTGATAGAGCTTACAAAATGTGTTCCAAATCAAATGCCAGTTGCTGGTTTCAGCCCTGCTTCAGTAAACCCTGCACCCTAGAGCACTGGCGGAGCAAACTGAAGTTGCGTAAAGTCTGCTTTGCATCAAGAAGTATGCGATGAGACTGGCAAGAAGCCCTAAACCCTAAGCCCCAAACCCTAAGCAGTTCGGTGCGAGGACGCAGCAAAAAGCGACCACGAGACGGAGCACGAGACGAAGGCTCCAACCTCAGCAAAAGCCAAGGGACCGAAAGACTCAGGATTTAGGGCATTGGGGTCTTAGGGTTTTGGGTTTAGGGGTTTGGGGTTCAGGGTTCGGGATTTAGCATTTGGGGTCTAGGTTTTGGGGGGTTTCAAAGGGTTTACGGTTTAGTGGTAAACCCTAAACCCTAAACCCTAAACCCTAAACCCTAAACCCCAAACCCTAAACCCTAAACCCTTTGTAACGTTCAGGGATTTATAGGGTTTAGGGATCAGGGAATTTAGGGGCTAGAGTGCGCTGAGGGCTTTTGGGGGCTTCAGACTTGAGGCTCGGAATGCGGCGTGGCTGCTCGAAGCCTATTGAAGCTAAAGGGCACCCCAAATCTACGAAGCGAGAGAGGCCCCCTCCTAAGACTTGGTTTAGGGTTTAGGGTTTAGGGTTTAGGGTTTAGGGTTTAGGGTTTAGGGTTTAGGGTGTAGCTCACCCAGCTGACTTCAGGAGTCTGGGTTCAAAAAAGGTTGGTGAGCCAAGCGTCAGGGGGTCGTGTGGTGCACAACAGCAGCATCTCGAGATGTCCGAACTGTCTGTGAGCACCCCAGGAAGATTGAAAAACAGACACGGCACAAGCCCCAAACCAACCCCCAAAACCAAACCTGACACCCCCAAACCCTAAAACCCTCCTCCCGAATACTAAACCTCAAGGAAGTGTACCAAGAAGTGTGGCAAAAACAGCCTTCAACCCTAAACCCTAAACCTAAACCCTAAACCCTAAACCCTAAACCCTAAACCTCCTGTACCCGACCCGAGGATTCCGTCCTCGTCGTGGTGGGCGGGACGAAGACCGCAGCCAAGACGAAGGACCCAACCTGGGAACCTGTCCTTGAGGGCACAGGGAGGGTTTAGGGTTTAGGGTTTGGGGTTTAGGGTTTAGGGTTTGGGGTTCAGGGTTCAGGGTTCAGGGTTTAGGGTTTAGGGTTTGGGGTTTAGGGTTTAGGGTTTGGGGTTGAAGGCTTAGGGTTTTGGGTTTTTAGGGTTTAGGGCTTGCTCCTGGCTCGAAAGGGTTTGGGGCTTAGGGTTGAGGGTTAAGGGTTTAGGATGTAGGGTCCTGAAGGTTGTTCCTCTTCGATGGCAGTGGAGAGTCACGAGTCTGACTGGTTGGAGCACTTGGTACGGTGTGTTCGGCACAGCAATGGTGGCTGAACACGTTGGAGAGTGCAATGTTTGGTGCGTGCAGAGCATGACATGTCACAGGACGAGTCACAGGACGATCAGCATCCCATCCGCAACCGCCATCCAGATGTTCTACACCAACCAGAGGCCACGACCCTAAACCCTAAACCCTAAACCCTAAACCCTAAACCCTAAACCCTAAACCCTAAACCCTAAACCCTAAACCCTAAACCCTAAACCCTAAACCACATCCTTCATCGTGGGGTTCAACGGGGCAGTGCCTGGCCACCATGAGCAAGAGGTGGAGGGCTTACAAATCCCAATAAAAAGCTGGGTTCTTGTTGAGGAGCTCAATTCTTAGCTTCCAGAAGACACGGTTCTAGAGCCAACCAGCTAGTACCCTTGCTATGGTTCGTTGAAGGTCCTTAACAAGAACCCGGTTTAGGGTTTAGGTGTGTCAGAGAGAGCCCTAAACCCTAAACCCTAAACCCTAAACCCTAAACCCTAGAGCTCTCCAATTACCGAGACAGGGACTCCAGGGAGACTTGGCATTTTTTTCGGCATTCTGAGGGGGTGATTCAGGTTGCTCCTCACAAGCTGCATGTCCCTAACGCCCAAAACCTAGACTATCTTAAAGTCTTAAGCCCTAAACCCCAAAGTAAGCCAGAAGGGCGGCCGCAGCACAGCCTCTTGCTGTGTGTTCTTGCAGTGCCCGGGCGTTTCGGGCTTCGGGTTTAGTCTAGGGGTTTGGGTTGCAGTAGGCCAGACCCGAACCTCAAGTTCGCATGCAACCACACGAATGCTGCGAGGCCGCTTCGCAGAATACGTCAAATACGTCAAGCGGAGCCGCCGCGACACGCACAAAACTCATCAAGGAGCGGCTGGAGCCCGAAGTTGCCAGAATGCCAGTGTAGTTGAGGTTTAGGGTTTAGGGTTTAGGGTTTAGGGTTTAGGGTTTAGGGTTTAGGGTTTAGGGTTTAGGGTTTAGGGTTTAGGGTTTAGGGAGGAGAAGTTGCATGTGTGCCGGGAGCCCCACAGTCCGTTGCTCAATAGGAGGCTAGGGTTTGGGGTAGCAGCAGGCCATAGTCGAGTTTGCAGTGGACATGCAACCATACGAATTTCTGCGAGGCCGCTTCGGCCGCTTCGGCCGCTTCGGCCGCTTCACGGAATACGTCAAGCAGCACCAGAGCCGCCGCCACACGCACAAAAATCATGCAGGAGTGGGTGGAGTCCCAACCCTAAACCCTAAACCCCAACAGACCCCAGAATGCCCGCTTAGTTTGGGTTCAGGATGTTAATCTTTGCTCCCTTGTCAGTATGTTGGGACCTTCTGCTCCCAGCTATCCCGTAAACCCTAAACCCTAAACCCTAAACCCCAAACCCTAAACCCTAAACCCTGCGTCGGCCCACTGGGGGTCGACATGAAGGAGCCGACCTTCACCTGCCAGAGCTCTGTGCAGCTCACGAAGCTGGGCGTTTGTTTTTTTAGGGTTTAGGGTTTAGGGCTTAGGGTTTTGGAGTACTGTACTTTGAAAATTGTTTTTTGTTGGTTCTGGGTTCCTCCTATTATAGCTACTTGTACTTGTACCTAAAAAGGCCTTTGTTTTTTTCTACCAATTGCTGAAGGAACCCCCCAAAACTATCAAACTATTCTTCCTTAAAAGGGTAGTATAGACTTTTTGTTTGGGGGGGGGGGGGGGGGGGGGGGGGGGGTTCTTAAGCAAATAGTAGTTTTGTAGGGAGTCAACAAATTCAATCTTTCTGTTCCTTGACACTTGAAGAGGTCACAAGCATGCCGCGGTTTCTCGCCGGTGCTTTGAGGGACTTGGGTGTATGGGACGTAATGGATGGCGATTTAGGTCGGTAGGACTTGGGCAGAAAGATAGCAGCGCGGTTTTAGGGTTGCGGTGGTTTGGTGAGATGTTGGGCAGAAGGCGGCACTGTGATTCGCTCAGGAACGTGACTGCTTCGCAGAACAAAGGGTTGGCCATCGATGACACCACCTTCTCACAATGCCCCTCTCTTGGATTGACGACGCCTGGCTTCATTTCAGGCGATTGCAGGCTCGGGGGGTCCAAGTGTTTAGAGTCGAGGCTCAGAGGTTTTCGGAGGTGCGCCGAAGCGACGCGCCCTAGAAAGACAGCCGCGCTGTCAGACAAACCCTCAACCCTCAACCCTAAACCCTAAACCCTAAACCCTCAACCCTCAACCCTCAACCCTAAGCCCGACACCCTCAACCCTTGGAAAACATGCCCTGAGCTTCGATAGCCTGTGCCCCGTCTGGTTTTTCTGATCTCGTGCTCTTCGACCCCAGTGAGCACCATGGGGTTTTAGGGTGTATGGGTTTAGGGGTTAGGGTTTAGGGTTTAGGGTTAGGGTTTAGGGTTTAGGGTTTAGGGCTTAGGGCTTAGGGTTTCGGGTTTATAGGGCTTAGGTGTAGGGTTTAGGGCTGCTGGCACCTCACAGAGCCCGGGTCCAAAGGGTTTAGGCTTAGGGTTGGTTGGGGGGGAAAGCAGCCTTTCCTTTCACGCCGTGCCGCCTAAACCCGAAGCCCTAAACCCGATCGAGAACCCTACACCCTATAAACCCTATAAACCCTATAAACCCTATAAACCTTTTTTAAACCCTAAACCCTAAACCCTGAAGCCCCGAACATTGAGAGGAAGTGGCCCAACACAGACGAGCGCCTCCCTTCCGTACGCCTTTTCAAAGCATGGGCTACCTGGACGGCAGCAATGTGGGGGTTTCCGAAATTAGAGGTACCCTTTTTGGGCTTATTATAAGGGGATCCTTCTATGTGGGGGGCCATTTTAGGGGTCCACGATTCGTAAACCCCCATGTAGGGTTTAGGGCTTCGGGGGCGGGTTTCGGTTTGGGGTTTGAGTGGGTTGAGGTCCCAGGGCCTTCAGAAGTACCGACTGCATTGGGCCCCAAATTGGGGTATTATGATAGTCTCTTGTGCTCTCTTCCTCTCTTCCTCTCTTTTCCTCGCTTTTACTCTCTTTTCCTCTCTTTTCCTCTCTTTTCCTCTCTTTTCCTCTCTTTTCCTCTCCTTTCATCTCTTTTCCTCTCTTTTCCTCTCTTTTCCTGTCTTTTCCTCTCTTCTCCTCTCTTCCTCTCTCTTCCTCTCTCTTCCTCTCTCTTCCTCTCGCTTCCTCTCTCTCCCTCTCTCTCCCTCTCTCTCTCCCAATATCTCCCTCTGTCTCCCTCTCTCTCCCTTTTTTGTTTTTTTTTTTCTCTCTCTCTCTCTCTCTCTCTCTCTCTCTCTCGTTTTCCACAAACGAAACTCCCTATCAGGGAAAAAAGAACGTAAACCCCGTTTAAGGTTAGTCCCTAGGGCGAAAAGAGTGGTTGAAGCATCCGTGCTCATGACGCCCTGCCTGTCCTCTCTCAAGAGCGAATTGCAGATCCCCAATGCAGAACTGTGCTTCTTCAGCTGCAGGGACTTCTTACGCGAAAGTCTCGCAAGTTTCCTCTACTGCCCCCCTGACCAAGTTCCGCTGTCAAAGTCCCGAAGCGTTGTGGCCAGCCCAAGGATTCGAGATGGGATAGCAACTACGATCGCAAGGCGGGCTCCATTCTCAGTGTCCGAGTGAGCACCCTCGGCCCTAAGCCTTGCTGGGAGCCCAGGAGCGCAGTGGGACCGCTTTTTTGGGCCCACGAAAACAAGGGAAGGGTTTGTTGGTTTAGTTACATCTAAATGCAAAGAGGGTTCAGGGTTTGCTCCGGCGCTGTGACTAGCCAATTTAAGGTGCATGGCTTCCCCCAAATAAAGGTCCGATGATGAGCTCATACAAACCCAAATCACTTCTGTCTAGAAGTGGCTTATGTTCGCCGTATCTCTCCGCCCCTGTTTTTGGTCCTTCCTGTTTTTGGGCCCTGTAGATCATTTCATGAACAGACTCCCCAATGGTTTGGCCATGCCAGGCGATTTGGAGGGACCTCCGCGAGTATGTCTGGCCACTTGCCATGTGAATTCTTCGGGACCAGAAACGAACCCTAAGTTTAGGGTTTAGGGTTTAGGGATACTACACCCTATACGACTATAATCTATCTTACGGTATCCGGCACCCTAAATCCTAAGCCCTACACCCTTTGCATATGGATCATATAAGTCCGCTTAATATCACTTTGGCTTCAGGTTCCCCCCCCCCCCTCTCCCCAACAACACTGCTATCCCGAAGAGGTTGCTCTTTCAGAGCAGCTGAGAACAGAAAAAATGCAGCTTTGCGGGTTTCATGTCTTTACAGTCGTCAGGGTCTTGAGGCGACTCCGGGGTCTTCTTGGAGGTTCATGGTACTTATAAACCAATTATAGCTGTACTGTTAACTGTACTTAGAACCCGATTCGGGCACTTAAGGGGCTTATAGGTAGGTTACAAGTACAGCAGTTATAATTGGTTATTAAGTACCCTGAACCCTAAACCCTAAACCCTACTAAACCCTAAACCCTGAACCCCAAACCCCAAACCCTAAACCCTAAACCCTGAACCCTAAACCCTGAACCCTAAACCCTGAACCTCCAAGTAGGGTCTCTTCGGTTCAGGGTCTCGCGTCCCCGGCTCCCTGGGGCACAGTGCTTGCAGGAGTTGGCTCCTTGAGGCTGCTGGTTAGGGTTTAGGGTTTAGGGTTAAGGGTTTAGGGTTTAGGGTTTAGGGCTTCAGCTCCCTTCAGCCAAACACTCTTTGCAGGGCGAACAGCATCAAAGTGCTGTTCGGCACGCAGATCTCCTGCAACGAGACCGCCGATGATGCAGACTGGGCCTACGCCGGGGCCTTGTGCCGGCTTGAGCAGCTTTCTGACGTGTGACATGGTACCCTAGCACTGCCCTAGAACTACTATATTGTCCCTCTCAGGGTATACGGACACTGAACCGTGAACCCCTAAGGCGAAGGAGCTCATGGAGTACATCGGATGGTACTACACCATGGGCCACTTGGCTGAAACCTGCCAAGCCCCCAGCCCCACGGCTTGAAGTTTGGCTCAAGCGACAGTTCTGGCAAGGTTTCCAGACCCAGAGCCTATTGGTGTTTTTGGCTTCGAGTGCTTTCCAGTAGCCCCATGAAGCTCGACAAAACGCAGTGCATAAGCCCCGAGTTCTGAAATCATCCCCCAGCCCATGAGCCGAGAGTTTACCTCAAGCTCCTGAGCTGCGCACGTTCCTCGCGCGCAGTGCTTCACGTGAGCAGGGCATCTGCGGGTTCTTGCTGCACTAGCCAGCAAAGTGTGCAACGAGCCAGGAGGGAGTGTTTAGGGTGTGCGGTTGTTTCCGGTAAGTACTGTATTGGCTCCGTTATGAGAGCGAGCATGTGGGGGCTTACCTTGGCTGTACATGGATAGATGTAAGTAAGGTTACCAGTACCCGAAGCAAGCGAGGTTTCAATTCTAATTTACGCCACCATACATTTAACCCATAAGGATAACTGCCCATGAACCTCCAAGTAGGGCTGCACCGAAATGCCGGCTTCATATGCATGTGAGCTCAGGTTTAAGGTTGAGGGTCAAAAGGGTTACAGGTGCTGTTGGCCCAGGGTATGCTGACAGAAGGGTGGGCCGCGTCAGCTACCTGCTGGGCACCCGAGGATTGGCGATCGGCAATGAGGTTGAGCTCATCCATTTGCATCCAGATGAACCGAAGGAATGCTGCTTGGACTGCAGGGTGTCGCGCCTTGAGGTTCGGCGGGACGCCAGAGCCTGCTTGGAGGTTTTGTCGTTGCTTTTTTTGTCGCAATAAGTCGGGGAACTCTAGTTATGGCGAGTAACCCTCTTTGGAGCAGCCAGTAGAGACTGTCTCTCTCTCTCTCACCCTTCTCTCCTGGCATTTTGCGGGGTGTAAGCGCCTTTAAGTGCCTTTAGGCACATGCGACACTGCGCCTAAGCGCCTTTATGCGCCTAAGCACCTTCATTAAGCGCCTTTTAAGCGCCTTTACGATGTTCCAAAGGGCCCTGTAGAGGCCTTTAGAGGCTTAGAGAGGCTTAGAGAAGCTTATAGAGGCTTGAAGAGGCTTGAAGCCAGTCCACAAAAAATAGAAGCTTCCTCGGGATAGAGGCTTACACACTTAAAGAGGCTTGACAAACAACAGAAGCTTCCACGGGAAAGAGGCTTAGAGGCGTGGCGCGAAATAGCAGCCCACTTCCCCCCACCATGCCTCCTTGCGTCAGTCAGCTTTAGGCCGGAATAGGTTCAGAATGTGCTGCTCTATGCTGCTTCGTGGTTCATGGGTAATTAGAAGTCGGGTGTGGCAACTTTCGTTACAACCATATGGAGATGCTCTCTCATGCTTCGTGGAAGATTTGGGGACATAGGTAGTACGTGGCATCGCCTATAGAACTCTTTAAGCGATCATGGAGGGTAATCTTCGACGGGTTTGAAACGAAGCTGTGTCGAAGCTGCTGCTTGCTGCTACACCCTCTGGGTAAGGTATCTGAAATATTCCAGTGTGAGGTGAAGTCAGTTTAAGCCGAAGACCTTAGTTGAAACCCTGAACCCAGAAGCGTGGTTCAATCACCTTTGCTGTGTCTTGTCGCTGTTTGATATTGTAGCTATTCAAGGTCTGACGTCCTAGACCACCTAAGACCGAAACCCAGAACAGCCGAGGAGGAATCGCAGAACCCCCCCCCCCCCCCCCCCCCCGGGTTTAGGGTTTAGGGTTTAGGGTTCTGGCCCCAAACCATGACTTCTGAGAGGCAAGCTGCGCCTCTTCCAGCAGAAGTACTTCCAAAGGAAAGTGGACGCCCGTGCCAAGGAGCTCCGGTGGCCATAGCCGCGCAAGGGCCGTGAGCAGCCTGGGCGTGGACCCAGAGAGCCCAATACCCCTTAACTTAAGGAATATCCCTCAGTTTATATAGGGATCCTTTTTGCTATGATTTAAGGAATATACCTAAAATTTATATAGGGATCCTTAATATGATTTAAGGTAGATTCCTTAATCAAGTTGTATTGGGCTCTTTGGGTACCCCCCGATGTGCTTTTGTATGTACCAGTAAAGTAAGAAGGGCAAACAAAAAGCTGCATGTTCGTCTGTATTCTATCGCACAGCCAGGTAGCTGTTCACAGAATCCTCCTGTGCTAGAGGTTATGGTACCGACAGCAAGCGCCACCACCCTAAACCCTAAACCCTCAACCCTAAACCCTAAACCCTAAACCCTAAACCCTAAACCCTAAACCCTAAACCCTAAACCCTAAGCCCGGGTTTGGGAGGCCTCTGACTCTGGCATCTCCATGGCTCTTCGGGGTGAAAGGTTGCCCGGCCACCCTGAAGGAAGGCTTGAGAGAACCGAATCCTAAACCCGTTGTTCGCTCTTCGGAGATGGTGCTACAGAAGCCCTAAGCCCTAAGCCCTAAGCCCTAAAGGCCTAAAGGCCCCTGAGCCCTTCAGGACATGGATAAGATGGAGGGCTTCTCTTCGGTGCCCTTGACCACCGAGCTTCGGCCAGCATTTCTCCCCTACTTTCCGGTTTAGGGTTTAGGGTTTATTTAGGGTTCAGAGGATCATCGGATCAGTTTTGGCCGAATAGGGTGTGGGGTAAACGTTGCGGCCACAGTTGTGGTCAGCAAGTGTCATCACAGGAGAAGTAGAAGGCTTTGGCATTTGAGGCTTTGCCTTGCAGGACTGAGGACAGCTGCACCTGAAAAGAGGCCGTTCACGGTCGATTCAGGCTTCACCCGTAAGGCTGCCCTGTCTCTTGATGATATGACCTTCCGGCGTACAGGCGCCTTTATCCTTTAGAGCATTATGAACCGCACCCCATGAAAACCCGAATGTCGACCTTCTCCCCCTATGAACCTTCAAGCTCACAACCCCTTGCATAAGCCTCCTATGGATTTCAAGGGAGTGTCGAGGTCCTAGTCGGGTGTAGAGGCGCAGCAAACCCAGCAAACCCTCAAAACCTGAACCTTCTTGGAGCATTCTAGACCTTGCTGTCAAGAGGCTGGCGCCCAAAGATCAACTGTCAGACTGTCAGCTCAGACAAAAAACCGGACTGACACAGCGTAGCGGTTGGTTGGACACGATCTTGAAAGTTCTATGGGCCCTGCTCCCTGCATAACCTGAATCTAACCCCTTAAACCCTAAACCTAAACCCAAAACTCTGACCCCTTAAGCCCTAAACCCTAAATTCTAGCCCCTTAACCCCCTAAAACCCGAAACCCTAAATTCTAACCCACAGAAATGTATTTGCACAAGGCTCCCAAGTCCTCCCCAGGCACCCAAATGCTTGAAATGCAGGAAATCAAAAGGAAGGATCCCAAGGGGCTAGAGCCGACAGCCTCCCCTTAGGGTTTAGGGTTTAGGGTTTAGGGTTTAGGGTTTAGGGTTTAGGGTTTAGGGTTTAGGAACCTCATGAGGTCATGGGCGGCTACATCTTGTCGCAGAAGCCCTTCGTCAACACACCCGAGGCGGCCCAACCACCAAGATGCAAAGCTCATTGAACCCGAACGCCGGAGTTCAGTTTTCTGAAGGGGCGCCGGGTTCGGGTTTAGGGTTCAGGCTCAAGGGACCCGGGACCCTAGACCCCAGAGGGCTTTTGAGACCGAAACTTGGGGGTCATTGTTCAGGTTCTTCGGGATGTCAGGGTGCCGTGGAATTAGGGCAAGGGAAGGCATGTTGCTCATGCGATGCAGGGTTTAGGGCTTCGAATTTTGGGTTTGGGAGGAGCTTGCGGACAGTCCTTGCACCACTTGGCTGTTCGGATGTGGAAGGCTGCTCAAACTTCTTTTCTTGCTTCCCGTGTGCTTCCTCATGGTGACTTGCGTGAATAGGTGTGTTGTGTGTGAGATTGCGTAGCGGCGATTCCTGAAAATAGATTCATGTGTGCCGGGAGCTTCCAAGTCCGTTGCTCACAAGGGTTTTGGGAGTAGGCCACATAGATGTGCCCCTCGACCCTCAACTCTAAACTGCTGTAGAGGAACAAACGTTGCTTGGACCGGCCTTGACGACTGCATATGTAAAGATACAGGGTTTAGGGTTTGAGGCTAAGGGTTGAGGTGTAGGTACTACTCTAAGAACCCAAAGCTTACGGTTTTTTTGCAGGTTACCTGCGCGTCGGTTTTTTTGTCATCATCATGCCATAAGGGTCCATGTACCTCATTATTGTATACTTGGGCCCCGAAGTCCTTATATAGCAAGTAATTTAACCCTAAACCCCGAATCCTAAACCCCAAACCCTACCCCAAACCCCAAACCTAAACCCCAAACCCTAAACCCTAAACCCATGAAAAGAGGTCGGCTGCTAAGATCTTGGGTATAGCATAGCCCCCGAGAGCTCGGCCTTCACCCCGACCGGCATCAGGGTTAGGGTTTTCAGAGTCGCCATACCAAAGCCCTGGGTTTAGGATTCAGGGTTTAGGGTGTAGGGCCAAAAGTGAACATGCTTTCTTCCATCGTCCGTACATGGTCGGATTTATGAGAAAAAGGGGGCTTCAAGAATATTGTACAAGCCCCAACACACGCTGAAAGAGCGTGGAAGACAAACGCCAATTCGAAGTCTAAACCCTAAACCTGCCCTAAACCCTAAGCCGTAAACCCTAAGCCCTAAACCCTAAACTCTAGACCCTAAACCCTAAACCCTAAACCCTAAACCCTAAACTCTACACCCTAAACCCTAAACCCTAAACCCTAAACCCGAAGTCAGTAGGCCGGCGTTGTCGACTTCTTCCGCTACGTCAATGGTAAGTACGGCCGACGCTGGGCCACTCTGGCTCAGTCTTCGGTGTGGCTGCTCAATAGGATGCTGTGAAGGGCATGGGGTTTAGGGTTTAGGGTTTCGGGTTTGGGGTTTTTGGTTTAGCATTTAGGGAATGGCAGGGGGTTTAGGGTGCAGAATGTGCAGGCTTCTGCGAATATGGTATCATGGTTTTGGCTGTTCAATCCAAGGGGTGACCTGCTACTCTGCAACCGTTGCTTAGCCATGTTTCCGTGGGTACTTGACACAGTTGCTGCAGATGCTGGACAGGGGTCAGTGAGAAGATGAAGCCCAAACCATTGCGAAAGATGTCTCACTTATCAGTACTCCTTGCGCAGCGGCATTCATGCGCTGTAAGCACCTGGGTGTACATCCGCACTGCACCCTTGCATATACGCCCTCCACAGGCGTCAAGCTACATTGTAGTAGCAGTCACTGCGGCTCTACAAGCTCGGCGGGGAAAGCGGTACCTGAACCCTGATTAAGCCCTAAACTCCAAGGTGTGTCTAGGCTCGAGGTTCTTGTCGCGGATGGAAACAGATCCACACACCCATTTGTCATGCCCTTTTCTGGGAGTACCGATGCATCCAAGAGCCTAGAAGGCTTAAGCCCCCTAAACCCTATGTGGGGCTTCCGACATGAGGAGGTACCTTAGTGGGGCCCTTGTTTTATAAGGGAATCCTACTATTTGGTGTCGAAATTGGGGGTCCTGTCTCTTCGTAAATCCCCATATAGCCTAGAACGGGGCCAGGTTTACACCTGGAATGTCTACCCCTACTTCGAGCCCAATGTCCACATCAACCCCTACGACCCCGTGGCCGCCAGTCTGAATTCGAGCTTCGCAAGGATTGCTCCCTAAACCCTAAACCCTGAAACCCTGAAACCTAAACCTCTAAACCCTCACCCTAAACCCTAAACTTTTTTTAGGCTTAAAGGGTGTAGGGTTTGGTTGGTTGACCGATGTGACATACCAGGATTGGCTGTTATTCCCTGTCACCCCTTACAAAAGGCTTCTTTTGCAGGGCTATCGGGCTGATGATAGCCGATGATAAGGGCTCATAGCCCATCCTAGTGAAACTCTTGTTGGTGAGCGGGGCACTTAAGTTGAGCAAGTTCGTCAAGGCGGGGGAGCTCGCTACTGAAGTCCTCCTATATCTCCTGCAGCAGCAGCTATGTTGAGAGAGGGAGGGGCGGAGAGAAGCAAATAGCCAACAAACTAAAAGGAACAACGTGCATCTCGAGAGGCACAATGCCGAACTCAGTAAATGAATTCAGGGGAGATGCAGATGGAGAGAGAGAGAGAGAGGGAGCACCTTTCGGGGGAGTAAGCGTGTGGAGAGAAAGCAAGAGCAAGCGAGAGAGTGAGAGAGAGAAAACAAGTAAACAACAAGAAACACAAGAAAGAAAGAACAAAAAACAGGCGGTGCGATGGTTTCATTTGTTAAACTGTGAGTGCTGCAACGTCGGTTGACGGCACGCCGTGTACATCCCAAAGGCTCCACTGGAGCCTCTAAACGCCTACAAGTCGTACGGCGAGCCGCCCCAAGCAACTCGAAGCGATTCTCTCAGCACACAAATTCCCCTTACATTCGTGATGCACGAGCTGTGTGCCGTTGTGGAGCTTGAGACGCCTCTAAAGCTCCACCGTTCGTAGCCACAAGACAAGAACTACCACACCCAAGACCACTACAACCTCAACAAACACCGAAACGCTAAAAATGCCTAGAAACTCTAGACAACCCCCAAAATTCCAAAAAGGCCTAAACTCATCCCCTGAACCCTGAAGCTTGAAACCCGAAGCCGAAGCCCGCACCTTGGAGTCTGAGGCCTGCGGCAAAGTGATGTACGCCGCCCAAAGCTTTGAGTACGACGGCATGATCACCACGCAGCTCCGCCAGCGACTGGGCAGCTGCATGAGGTTTGTGAGGGCTTATATGGGGTGTATATAGGCTTTATACATAAATAAAAATAAAAAATGTATATATATATATATATACATATATAAGTATATATATATATATATGCTACCCCCCCCCCAGCGACCTACCCTTTTTAGGCCTTTTTAGGCCTTTTTAACAAAAAATAACAAACAAGGCCCAAAAGTCGCGTAGTTAATCACCGGGTAATGAAGGACAGTTACTGGGACACCCACCTCACAGACCCCGATAAGCCAGCATTTGGAAGAATCTACATTTTGAATCTGAAGCGGACAATGCTGTTTTTAGATGTTTAGATCAGTGTTTTTCTATGCAAATTGTGCGTTTTTAAAGGGCAATTAATGTTTTGTTGAGCAACTAATTTATTTATACAATTGTGTTTGTACGAGGCAAAGTATTAATCAAATAGTGAAACATTTTTCTTGGTTCTATGTGAATTTAGCTACTAGAGTAATTATTAAGCAAAGAGCCCAATTTGACTCGAGTGAATACCATTTAAGGGAGCATACTCAACCAAGATACGAAATAGACACCATTCTCAACCAAAATATGGCAAAGTGTGGGTTTAAAGTGCAATTACTGTATTTATACAATTGTGCTTGTACTAGGCAAAGTATGCTCTCTGAAAAGTCCACTGAAATACCTTATGTTTACATATTCATGAATCGTTTTTATTTTTGAAATAATCATTTTATGCGAATTTAGCTACTAGAGTAATTATTAAGCAAATAGCCCAATTTGACTCAAGTGAATACCATTTAAAGGACCATACTCAACCAAAATACGAAATAAGCACCATATACAACCAACATATGGCAAAGTGTGGTTTAAAGGGCAAATAGTGCTTTGTTGAGCAACTAATGCATTGAAACAGTTGTGTTTATACCAGGCAAAGTATTATTGAAATACTATCTGCAAAGTCAAATGAAACACCTTATGTTTACATATTCATGAAACAATTTTTTTTGAAGTATTCATTCTATGCGAATTTAACTACTAGAGGAATTCTTAAGCAAATAGCCCAATTTGACTCAAGTGAATACTATTTAAAGGACCATACTCAACCAAATACGAAATAAACACTTGCGGAAATGGAAACGGTTCTACCTACATAACAATGAGACAAAGATTGCTGAAGTATTCACTAAAGACCACTTGTATACTATGTCTGAAAAGCACAATTTGCATAAGCAAGCTTAAAAATGCACAATAATGGAAATCGGTTCTACTTACATAACGATGAAACAAAGATGTCTGAAGTATTCAATAAAGACCACATATATACTATGCTTGAAAAACGCAACTTGCACAATCAGGCTTAAAAAATGCACAAGAATCCTAGAAAAGTACTTAGTGAAGGCCATACCACAAGCAAATTCACAAATACGTAAAAACATCCAAAAGCGCAAGCTTTTCAGGAGAATCTCTGGTGAAGTTTGGATTATAGGGTTTTGGGGTATCCCTGGACGAGTAGGAGTCACTTTTTAAGCAAACAATTCTAAGCAATAAATGCTTTTTCTCGAGACAAGTATTGCAAATGCTGCTTCTAGATAATTAATCGCATTTACCAGGCAAATATTATCCATGCGAATTGAGCTACCAGAGCACCAAGTAATGGCTGAATAAGGTCTACTACACTTGAGTACAACCAAAAGATGCAATAAACACTAGCGGCTCTACTTACATAATAACGAAACAAATAGTTCTGAAGCACTAGAAAGACCACTTGTATACTATTTCTGAAAAGCACAATTAGCATAAGCACACTTAAAAATGCGTAGTTGCTGCCTCGTGACCGTGAAGGCGAACCAAAAAGACAAAATACCAAAACCAAAAAACCAAAAAAAAAAAAAACCAAAAAAACCAAAACAACCAAAACCAAAAAAACCAAAAATACCAAAAAAACCAATTTTCCGGGACTCTTGGAGAAGCCTCATAGGGATTTCCTGAGAGTCCCGGAAAATTGGTTTTTTTTGGTATTTTTGGTTTTTTTGGTTTTGGTTTTTTTTGTTTTTTTGGTTTTGGTTTTTTTGGTTTTTTTGGTTTTGGTTTTTTTGGTTTTTTTGGTTTTTTTGGTTTTGGTTTTTTTTGGTTTTGGTTTTGGTTTTTTGGTTTTTTTGGTTTTGGTATTTTTGGTCCTTCTACTGTCCCGTGTATGCGATTTTAGTTGTATTTTAATCTACGCCCTAGGAAATACGCTATATTGCACACCGAGTTTGCTTGCAGTGCAGCTGGGTGACTTGAGGCAAGGCGAAAAAGGGTAGGTCACTGGGGGGGGGGGGTACCATATATATATATATGTATATATATATATGGTAAAACCAGCTTTTTCTGAAAATTCTACACCTGAGCAGGACAGAAAAGAAAGAAAAGGCGTAGGTCAATGGGGGGGGGGGTACCATATGTATATATATATATATATATAACATATAGCATATATTCTCTCTGCGTGTGTGTTCCCTCTGGGTTTTTTCCTGGACAAAACATGATAATCAACGAACCTAGGGGCTCTAAGATGGAGGCTTGCGGTTTGGGAATAAGGGCCAGGGTTTAGGGTTTAGGGTTCAAGCGTTGCGGTTTCGGACTCGGGCAGTTTTGAATTTAGGGCTTGGTGGAACGGGATGGTGCTTGGGGTGCAGGGTTGGGGGTTCAAAGTCTGGGGTGCGATGTAAGTAGGTTTTGAGTTTAAGGTTGGAGGCTTAGGGTATGGGTTCAGAGGTGCTGGGTTTAGTGGCTTTAAACTTTGAGGGTCTCGTGCTTACAGGTGCGTGAGAAGCTTGAAAGGTTCAGCGTTCAAGGTCCAGGGCTTCAGGTTTAGGGTTTAGGAATTAGGGTTTAGGGTTTAGGGTTTAGGGTTTAGCTCCCAAAATGAGTCGGTGAACTCTGCGGACTTTTCTCCCTGAAAATTGGCTGGCAAGTCTGTAGCTGGAAGTACTGGAGGTTTCCCTAAACCCTAAACCCTTAACCCTAAGCCCCATGGAAGATGGCCCTCATCTCTGAAAGCCCAATGCGAAGCTTCGGCTGGACGCCCAGGCTCTAGGTTGGATACTCCCCCAACCCGAATTATGGGTTAGGGTCACCTTCTTAGGGTGTAGTCTAAATAGGGTTTAGGGTTTAGGGTTTAGGGTTTAGGGTTTAGGGTTTAGGGTTTAGGGTTTAGGGTTTAGGGTTTAGGGTTTAGGGGCACCAAAGGCCACGCCCACAGGCTTCTGAGTGCCGTGATCCCGCCATCCTGCTATCCGGAGGCTGCGGCAAGGCACGCAGATGATCACGGGTCGCTGGGACGACGCTTTGGCTGCTCAAAGAACAGCTCCTTGTTTTCCTAAACCCTAAACCCTAAACCCTAAACCCTAAACCCTAAACCCTAAACCCTAAACCCTAAACCCTAAACCCTAAACCCTATCAAGTGACCTGGTGGTTACAATGCCTCAAGAGGAGCTGCTGTCTGACCAGCTACGTGGGTGAACCCGAGCTGGGTTGATGCTCAGGAACTTCATTAAATTGACCTCGCTTCGTGTTAAGCAATGGTTTGGGAATTGGTATGGTTTCCTTTTCATGGTGGCTTAAATGTAAGCTGCTTTGTGCGAGAATCCAGAGAAATGCGCACACCAATCCGCAGGCTTACCCCTTGGACCCTTTGTAACAAGCACAAGCTTTTCATGGACCTTATCAAAGCCCCAGAAGTATGCCAGTGGATAGACCTGGCAGTTGTGCACAGAAATCCTAAACCCTAGACCCTACACCCTAAACGTACTAATGTGAATGTCTCAGGCGATCTCCCCAATAAGGCTTGAGCCGTGGTTTTTTTTGATTCTCCTGAGTCCGACCAATGAACGGTGGCAACAAAACCCCTAAAACCTAAACCCTAAACCCTAAACCCTAAACCCTACACCCTACACCCTCACACACACACAGCGATACTCAGCAGACTCGAAATCGACCTGCGATGTGGATTCGCCCCAGCTGTGCAGGAGGGAAGAAGCGACCCTAACAAGCTGGAAGCATCCCAAAGCTGCGCAAGGATGTCACCTGGCTGGGCGAGACGGGCTGGTCGTGGCCACGGGCGGATACGCCACCTCACCGAAGGTTAAGGTTTAGGGTTTAAGGTTTAGGGTTTAAGGTGAG